AGATTAACAGATGCAGGGGCAGCTAGGTGGCACAGTGGATAGAGCACTGGCCCTGAAGTCAGGAGGATCTGAGTTCAAATCTGGCCTCAGACCAAACACTTAACACTTACTAGCTGTGTGACCCTGGGCAAGTCACTTAACCCTAATTGCCTAAAAAAAAAAAAAGATTAACAGATGCAAAACAGAAATGCATAATAATAAAAGTCATACCTCTTCCCCATGCTTGTTGTTTTCATCAATAATACATTTGTTCAGATTTATTTCAAACTTTACTCCTCCCTAAAATTAAAAAAAAATTTAAAAATCTTTATTTTTTAATATTCCATTGAAATTCCCAATTATAACAGCCTTGCAGGGGTGGGGAATATGCGGCCTCAAGGCTATATGTGGCCCTCTAGGTTCTCAAGTGCAGCGCCCTTTGACTGAATCCAAACTTCACAGAACAGATCCCCTTAATAAAAGGATTTGTTCTGTAAAACTTGGACTCCGTCAAAAGGCCGCACCCAAGGACCTAGAAGGCCACATATGGCCTTAAGGCTGCAGGTTCCCCACCAATTCTATTTGAGAGAGAAGAGTTTAGAGGTACTTTCAAACTCTGAGATGGCTTCATAATACCATTGTTAAACAAACCTATAAGCAAACCAAGCTGTAAAGATGGAGGCCCAGGGTCAAAAAAAGATAATGCCGATTACCTTAACCTTGTATTTCTGTTCCAGCATTTTTCTTTCCTGTTTGCTCTGTAGCCTAATTTGTTCCAATTTTCTTTCAATGTCCTGAAAGGGTGGAGAAAATAAGAGGATTTTAAAGGCACAATTTATATACACAAGCTCTAAAACTATAACCCATTTCTAAAATGAACTGGCTTTCAGACTGAATCCAATTGTCAATTCCCTTGCAAACAGTGTCTCTTGAAAGTGATTTACTGCCCATTTGTGCCTCTAAGTGCTGTCAACATCTGTTATTCTGTTTGGGGACTTCATGCAGAACCACGAATAAGTCACTCTAGCTTTTCCTGTACAAAGGTCTGTAATCTGATACTGCTAATCCCTTGTCTCTTAAAAAGCTTTTCATTATATAGATGTGACATAGTTTAAGGAAAGCAATAAATGAAAATAAGAATTTATAAAACAGAAAAATTGGGCATGATTCTTTGCTTCACAAAACATTCACTGGAGGGTTCAGTTAAAAAGAAAGCTTTCTTGGTGTATTTAAAATACAATTCTCTTAACAAATATACACACTATTGTATTAAACATAATACCCACACTATTATATAAAACTAATTTCTTTTTTACTTCTTTCCCTCAAGATTCACCTGAGCCAATTTCTGCATTGAGTTCAGTTAATTCTGAGTTACCAGGAGACGTTTCTTGAAAACTTCAATGGATCTATGATTTTATAGACATAGTTAAACCCTCTGGAGCAGCAAGGTGGCTCAATAGATAGAGGGCTGGGACTGGAGTCAGGAAGATTCATCTTCCTGAGTTCAAACCCAGCTTCAGACACTTATTAGTTGTGTGACCCTGGGCAAATCACTTAACTCTCTTTGTCTCAGTTTCCTCATCTGTAAAATGAGCTGGAGAAGAAAATGGCAAACCACTCCAGTATCTTTGCCAAGAAAATCCCAAATGGGGTCATGAAGAGTCAGACATGATTTAAAAATGACTGAACAATAACAAAAATCAATATGTCACCATAGGAATCTTTATGTGTTTAGTGGCCCTGGTTTCTGTTTGAGTTTGACACTGATGGTATAGGATTCATAAATATATCTTCTCATAAATCCTTCATAGGGAGTCTAGCCAATGGTCAGGTGGTCCTCTTCTGATGCTTTCTGTACATCTCTAAGCAATGCTTCTCTCTCACTACCTGACCAGCATTGCCCCTCTTTTTTTTTGGTCAGACAACTCTAGGATGATTATCTTTTTAAACATGTCTTGTGTCTGAGTGATAGTGGCAACATTCTTCAGCCTGTTTATGCCCCGCACACATCTCTGGCTGTGATGGAAGATGTAATATTCTGTCATTTGCACCTATAAAAGATCATTGGAAGAATATTAAAATCCTCAAATGGATCTGTGACAATCAAATGAGATATTTTTAAAGCATGTGATTAGCACTGAGCCTGGCCCATGTTGTTTAGTCGCTCAGTCACATCTGACTCTTCATGACCCTGTACAGGATTTTCTTGGCCAAGATGCTGGAGTGGTTTGCCATTTCCTTCTCCACTGGATTAAGACAAACAATAGCTAAGTGACTTGCCCAGCATCACATGGCTAGTAAGTATCAGAAGCCAGATTTAGATTCAGGTCTTCCTGATTCCAAGCCCAGTACTCTGAGCCACCCAGTTGCCTCCTAGCACATAGTTGGTTATCCAGTTTGTTCTCCTTTTCCTATTTGATTCTAGACCCAAAGAATTTCCCAACTGTAGCATCTGTGTATGTGTATACCCATATATGCATGTACATACATATATACATATATATGACATATATATACATCAATGGGAAAGCTCTGCATGATGTTCATTTAACAGCATGTCAATGTCTAGTCAACAGGCATTTTTTATCTACCTCTTTTTTTCAGTGTGGATGGTTAGACCAATCTCTTTTAAGTGGTTATACGATTATTCTTTTTTCTCCCTTTTTTTTAGGCAATTGGGGGTTAAGTGACTTGCCCAGGGTCACACAGCTAGTAAGTGTCAAATGTTTGGTCTGAGGCTGGATTTGAACTCAGGTCCTCCTGACTTCAGGGCCAGTGCTCTATCCAATGTGCCACCTAGCTTTTAAGTGGTTATAGATCTCATCCAGGAGGCTCTGCAGTGTTCCATGGCTTGATGTAATTGCAGTAATATCTAATGTCCTCCACAGAGTACCTCACCAACTAAAGGGAATCCTTTAATGCAGACGCTACACTGGATCTCCTCAAAGACAATGGTGAATACTTTTGGCACGCATTTGTCTCCCTGTTTTATGCCTCATGTTTTGCTTCTCATGTATTGTTTCATGAAAATATTTACTAAAATACCCTTTTTAAGATTAACAGATGCAGGGGCAGCTAGGTGGCACAAATTTATCTCTGCCATTGTGTCATTGAAGGAATCTTGAGTAATTTCGATGTATACATTGGTGTACTTCCAACTCTCTTGTTGAAAGGAAACTTTAAGGTAGCACTTTGCTTTACCAAATAAAATGCTATTTATGATCAACAAAAACCATGGCAGGATTCTGTATCCTCTACATTTTTAGTTAATTATGTAATTGTGAAGATGTGGTCTACTGTGAAATACTGCTTGCAAAAGCCTGCATATTCCCTACTAACACCCTAATGGATAATGCCTTGGATGTGAGTGTAAACAATCCTTATAAAATTGTATACAGGTGGGAAAGTCATTATAAAGGCCAAGAGTTATTGGAATTCTAATGGTCTCCATTTTTTTTCAGGATTAATGAAGTCCTGGATTTTTCCCCATACCTTTTGTATCTTGCCTTACTGAGCTATCATGTTAGCCATTCCCTCAGCACCATCACAACTGTGTGGCTTCCAGTACAGGTCTCTTGACCTAATCCAGCTGCATTTCCTATCTCTGCTCTTCATGCTATGCCTACTTCCTCTACCAGCACATTTGGCACTGTGATGTCAGAATCCAAGTATGGTGTTTCCAATGTCCACTCCATCAATTCCTTTATTTACCTCTCCAAGGAAGCCTTGTGAGCCATCCCTCCACTGAGCTGTGCCTTTCTTCTTTCTTCTGCTTTTGCTTTCAACAAAAGTCTCATGATTGATACAGCTGACTTCCTTTGGTGGTAGTATGTTCACTCATTCATTCATTCAAAAGTATTTATTAAGCTCCATGGTGATTGCATAAGGATCTCACCTTTGGAGTTCTAGTGGGAAAATTAAAAGTTTGTAGATGATTTAAAAACTGTGTGATTGATTACAGAGAGGTCTCTGCCCCTTTTCTGCTACCCTGCAATCTCACTGCAGAAATAAAAGAGGGCTGCACAGGAGTGAAGGCCATTTTAGTAGTTTTTAGTATTTTTCTTCTGCATGTTTGCCATGTTCAGTGATTTCATTACCAAGCAGCTAGCCTACTAGTGATGAGCCTTCCCTAGTTTAGCTATGGTAGTTCTTAGAAAAGTCAAGTCAATCTGTTTCCAGTGCAATATTCAGAAGGTTCTGCAAAGTTTAGATTCAGTCAAAGGGCTGCACTTGAGGACCTAGAGGGCCACATGTGGCCTCAAGATCTCAGGTTCCCCATCCCTGAACAATAGGCATTCTTCATCCACATATTTCCTTCTGTGTGGTCAAACAGCTTGAAGTGATGATGGATCTCAAAGAGAGGGCTCTGCAATGTTCCAAGGCTCGATGCAATTGGCCCGTTATTTGCAAACAGAAGCATCTGGAGGACTTCACCATCCTTAGGAAATTCCTTTTCCCTTTTTTCTGCCAGGCACTAAAAATCCTCCATTACAGTGGCAACAGCTTTGACAAGCATGAATCTCCTTGTTTTTTGCCTCAAAGGGTTGTTAGTTTATCCACGTGCACCAAAGGCACCTGAATGAAGGTGTGCGTGAGAGACAAAGCAGCAAGCTTTCACAGATGATATTCTCTAACAGGTCACATCTTCACAGTTACAAAGCTGATGGAAAGTTGAGGAGAAAACAAGCTCTCGCTGTGCTTATTACTTGTCAAGTAGAAAACCAGTTTTTGATTTGCCAGAACAAAATGCCTCCGGAGGCCCTCCCGTTCATGTCTCTCATGCACATTTTTAAATCATACAATACTTCTTGCAAGACATAGCTGAGATAGCTCTACTTTCCCATTTCTATAAAATCTCTATAAAAATAATCTGGTAGATTTAAAAATACACATGGGAAACACCCAACAGTGCAGCCTTTGGAAACATTAGATTCTGCCAAATCAACGTGCAAATAGTAAGCTCAGCAAGATCTCGTTTCCTCCCTCCCTTTCAATTAATTGTGTGACTGTGAAGACGCGGCTTGTTGAAGAATGACATTTGCTTGTCGCTTTTCTTCTCACATATACCTTCATCACGGTTCCTTTGATAATTGTGTACATTATTTTAATAAAGATTTTATAGAATTGGAAACGTAGACATATGGTTTGGTAGTTACTAAAACTTGTCCTGGTAGTCTTTTAAAAAAAATAACAATAAGGTCCAAGTTTTCTCTCCTCCTCACCAAAGCCTCTGGTATCCCTCTATTTTTTCCGACACCTTGAAAATCAAACCTTTAACACTCTCAAAATTGCACTGCCTCCAGCAGAACTTCACTGATTATACTTGGTTGAAACCATCAGCTTTTCCCATATTTGTTTTCCTAAATTCCATCTAACTCTAAGGCAGCACATTAGAGCCTGTTGGAGTCCAAATGTGATGGGTGGCTCCACTTTCATTAATAGAGAAAAGGATTTGCTTTCAAAATCCTTGCAGATCATTTTCCTCTTTCTTCCATTGAGATATTCTCCTTCCAGTTTCCTTTATAATGCCTCCATGATGATTTTATTTAGTTATGCCTCTAGCCAAGCCTTCTGCAACTTTGTTTTTCCCTCCACTGGTTGTCATTATTTTATGAGGTGATACTGTTTAAAATCTTCCAGCAATTTTTTCCCATAACATTTTATAAATGAGTTTATAGTCTAATCTTATGTTGTGTTTGGCAACCATATCTCTCTGCTTGGCAAGATCAAGTCCTAGAGGAGAGATCCTAAAAAACACCATCTAATTTGCAAAAAAAAAAACAAACTATGTGAAAATTATGTGAAGGGAAAATTGAGAGAGAGAGAGAGAGAGAGAGAGAGAGAGAGAGAGAGAGAGAGAGAGAGAAACGTGTGACCAAAACCTGATCATTTTAAAATATATTTCTGAAAATATGTCTTAATTCATTTCAACTCAAATTAAAACATTTAATAGGCATCTACTATGAGCAGGATACTGTGTAATGCACTGGGGTAGAAAGACAGATATGACACTGCCAGTTCTTGAGGAGCTTATGATCAAATGGAAGAAGGGAGGAAATGTGTATACAAATAAGTATTATATAATAAAGGAACATAATTTAACACAATCTTTTTAAGCACCCATGGTGTACAAGGCATTGTGATAGGTGTCCCTCTGGGGGCAACTGAGATTTCTACTCATAAAAAAATGCAATTATATTAAATAGATGGTTTCCTTACTATAAGATCTCAATGACTGGTTTTATGTAGTTAAGAAACTGACACATATACTTTCAAGGAGCTGATCTTGTATGTTAAGAGGAAATCTTCATGGGAACTTTACAGTAAAACTCAATTTACAGACATCAGTACCTGCACTGGTTCTCCTACCTCCTTAGGTTCATCCTGGTGAGCATGTGTGTTTCTCTGCTTCACGAAATAAGTCTTGTGACTTACATTTGAATCCTCCTTTAACACAAAACATTCATGATTAATTTTGAATCCAGACTGTAGAAATTCAGTAAGTTCCTTGATAAAAGTCAGAGTGCCAAAAAGGGCCTACTAGTCATAACTTATATTTATATAGGACCTTAATGTTGACGTAGCTCTTTACTCGCAACATAATGATGGTAATGCAAGTGTTATTCCCATTTTCCAGATCATTCAATCAGCAAGCATTTATTTGCCCATAGTCACACAGCTATTTAATGTCATAGGTGAGTTTCAAAACTAGGTCTATCTTTTCACTCTATCACTTACTGTGTAGGCTCTCAAGATAAACTTGTTTAGACCAAGTAATGATTATAATCAACAGTGATTTTGCTGTATTTCCCAATTATCTGAGAGAATTTCAGGGCGGTAAGACTTTTGCTCTCTAAAGAAATGTTATATTACTATTCCTGTTGGGAATCTTATTCCCATTTTCTTTAAGGAAATAATTAATCTTGATAGCTATTCAGTGTATATATTTATTCTAAAAGAAAAAAATAATGATCACTTTGGGAGAAATTGATTTTTTTTCTTTTTTTTACCTCAAGTCCTCTTCCAACCTTCCTTCTGATAGCTTTCATGTCATTGTGGTACTGCTGGCGTATTTCCTCTAATTGTTTCCGATATTCCTATTAAGCAAAATGAACATTATTAATGTGAACAACCTAGCAAAAATAATCTAAACATCACCAAAAGTTATTATATCATTTAAGCAACCTGGAATGATTTTGATAGATGGATGGGAGACACATTATTGGAAAAGAGCCTTCAAGGCAATGTTTTGTTCTACCAAATCAAATGCTTTTTCATACTCAGTAAACAACAGATACAATGGGATCTAATATTCTCTACATCTTTCTGTCAAGTGTGAAATGGTAAAGATGTGGTATCACTGAATAGCTAATACAAAAGTCTACTTGTTCCCCATAATACCCTTATCAAAGATGTCCTTTATGTGTGACATATAAGTTTTGTATAGGTAGGAGAGTAAGCATATGGGTCAGGAGTTGTTGCTATTTTCTTAGAAATAAACCTGTTTAACAACTCTCTGATGATAATAAGAGGTGAGACACAAAGCAGGGAGATATATATTTGCCAATGGTCTTCACCACTGATGGAGAAGATTTAGTACAGAACCCAAGTTAAAGCAGATTCTTTGCGGATGGTGAGATCCTCCAGATGTTCTCATTTACAGGTTCCATTGTTCTGGTCACATCAAGTCTTAGAACATTCCAGACCCTCTTGGAAGGAAAGGCCAAGTAAATAAAGAATATTTATGGCCTAGATTAAGAGATGAATTTGAATGGACAACCTATAAAACTCATCCATCAGTATGTATGTCTGGGACAGACAGTAGGAGCTAAATAATAAGCTGGGGTCTGAGTTGAACAGAAAGAAGAGACTGGGCTGGATTGCCTTCAGGAAACTGCAAAGATTTGTTAATTACCTCAAGGTTTCCATGGAAACAAAGGTCTTTTTTTTTTACTACCAATATTCTAGTGGTATTGCTATATAACTGTTGTTATTCATCCTTCATACTAGAGGAAGACCAATGATATCACAATGTTGGGGTCAAGGTACAGTGTGTTTGACTGTGGCTGATCACTTCAATATGGGCTCAGAAGACTCTACCACAGGTCAGGCACAAATAGTCCATTCGAACACTTGTGATAGAGATATCTAGATCTCACGTTTCCTTTGTGCTACTGCAATTCTGCTTTGCTCATACAGCGCAGCACCTTCTTTGATACAACACATTATGCTAGGCAGTCTTGTGCCAGCATCTCCCATATCTCACAGTCAAACTGAAGTTTTTGAGAGAGAACTTGAGAGTGTCCTTGTACCACTTCTTTGACCTCTGTGTGAGCACTTGCCTTGTGTGGGTTCTCCATAAATAGTCTTTTAGGCAAATGTGCATTTGGCATTCTGTCTATGTGGCCAGTCCACTGGGGTTACACTTTCTTCAGTAGAGTTTGAATGCTTGACAGCTCAACTCAAGAGACATCCTCAGTACCTGGTGCCTTATCTTGCCAAGTGATCTTCAGAATCTTCCTAAGACAATGCAAATGGAAGTGGTCCAATGTTCTGTCATGGCGCTGGTATACCGTCCAAGTTTCACAGGCATACAACAATGATGTTGGTACAGTGTCTCTGTAGATCTTTAGTTTGGTACCAGACCAATACCTATTCTCTCCCTCACTTTCCTTCAGAGCCTCCCAAACACTGAGCTAGCTTTGGCAATGTGTGTGTCAACCTCATCATCTCATCTATCTGGACATTCCTGGAAAGTATACTGCCAAGGTAAGTGAACTTATTGGTAGCATTCAAAAGTTCTCCATTGGTTATAACCAATGGTTCTATGGAACTTCTGTTTTCCTGGTGTTGGTGGTCAGGCCAAAATTAGCACAAGCAGCAGAGAATTAATCCATAGTCTATTGCATCTCAGCCTCAGAGGCTGCATTGAGTGCACAATCGTCTGTGAACAAAAAGTCACGCACCAACTCCTCCTCTATTTTTTTATATAGCAATGAGGCAGGGAATACAATTATCTTTGAAGAATTAAGAATGAGTATTACACAAAGGGCATGGAAAAAGCACATGAGAGAAGGGTGACAAGTTGCAACATATAACCAATGAAGAACATCAAAGAACAGGAATAAAAGATACCATCCAGGAAATGTTGGGAAGGGAAGGTTGGCTGGTTATGTGGCAAGGATGAGGAATGACAAGTGAGCAACCCATATGCTCTACTGGCACTATCACAATGTCAGGAGAAAGACCTCTAGCACATTGAGTGGAACCTCATGGGAGGCATGGATGGAAAAGAGAAGAGTCAGACAGAATGGACAGGTACAAATGGGTTGAGATTTTATCCTTGAGGGACTCTACAATCAATGAGATCCCAGCTCCATCTGAGAAGATGAGTACCATTTGAATACACAAAAAATTTAAAACACACACACACACAAAACTGACTGGCATTAGATGAAATTTGAGAAGCCTGGTGCTCTACATCAGTGTTCTCAAACTTTTTTGAACGTCTATCTCTGTCAGTAAAACACTTTTGAGCACATGCCTCCAGTATATGTAGACTTATTTTTAACAGGAGTCTACTACATGCCCATAGTGTCTCTGATTATGTCTCTTCCTGTGGAGAAACTGACACCCTGCTTCCAAAAGACTATGATGAAGTGGAATGGAAATGCCCTGGAGAGACTGCAGGTCATTTTGTAATTGCTTCTGGTCTGCTAACCACGTGGCAAAGAGAAGCCTTTTCTGATTGGCTGGGTAGCTGGAATTGCAGGCATCTCTGAAAGAGCTGTAGTCAACCTTGGCCATTCTTGTCAAGCCATCCTATTTTGTTGCTCTGCTCTTGGGGTGACTCCTCTGCTGGTGTCCAATGAGACAATGCTGCAAGAGAAACCGTGTTGGGTCTTCTCCCCAGTGAGGCCAGAATGCAGCCCTGTAACACAGCCCTGCCCTCGGCCTTTGCATTTGTTCCTTTCCCTCTAGGCAGGAAATGGAGACTCCAACCTGGGGAGTTTTGAACAGTCAGGAAAGTGAGTGTTCCAACATGCAGGTTTTACAGCCAGCTTGGCATCAATGCCTTTAGAAACAAGGGGTGACCTTCAGGAATGACCTTCAAAACTCAGCCCAGCAGTACCTGAGACAAGAACTCAGCTGGCACTCATGCTTCATTCTGTATGAGCTTAGTTGGATAAGTGTTACGCTGAAACCAACCTAAGAATGAACCCACTCTCCCCAGAAACTAAGGTGATATAGGAGAGGGTCTGCCCCCGAAGTAGCAGGGGGAAATGTCTGTACTTCTGTTCTTTCTTATTTCTTGAAGATAAATACTCCTTTGTAAAAGCTAATTGGTGTTAAGTGGTTAAATGGAATTGAGGTGTTAATTGTTGGTACCTAACAGTGAGAGGAAACAAAGCCAGTAGGGCATAGAACTGATGGCTGAGAAATATGATACCCACCCAACCCCTCAGTGTGCCTTAGAGTGTACCATAAAGTGTACCATAAAGGGCAAATGTAGTCAGCCTGCCTCTGGAAGAGAAGGAGTGGAGAATATTTGTTACGTGCATTTATAAATTGTATGCACTATTATGTTAATAAGTCATCTACAAAAATAGGAATTAAAAAGGATGTGGCAAAGATAAAATAAACAATATATTTTAAATTTTATTAATGGTGCAAAATCCCCTTTTATTCTTAGGAGCAATATGATTGAATATGCTATGTATGACCTGGAGCATAGGAGAGAAGTAATAATAGTTGTTAGAAATTATTCAGTTACTTTGATAATAGCTAGCATTTATGTAGAGTTTTAAAGCTTTCATGGTACTATATAATTTTACATTTTATCCTCACAACAACCCTGGGAGGTCGATGCTATTATTATCCCCATTTCTCAAATTAGGAAGCTGAGGTACACAGGTTAAAGGACTTGCCCAGGTTCACACAGGTTAGTAAGTATCTGAGGCAGCATTTGAACACAGGTCTGTCCTGGCTCTGGGCCCAGTGTGCTGTTCACTTGGCCTGTAGCTAGCCAAGCCAGTGAATTTTTCTTTGCTTCTTTCTTCCTTTTTTTTCAAACTTTTTATTAAAAAATACCCAACAAAGAAATAATAGGTCATGATAGTTAGTGACTATACCAGCTCTTCAGCAGGGGTCATGTTTCTCTGTGTGTATATATTGACCCTAAACCAGGCAAAAACAATTTTTAAAAAGTGAATTATCTCTGATTTCAACTCATTAGAAGCTCTCGACATAAATCTGATCTTCCTTTCTTCACACAACTCTGCTTAGTGGAAGGCATCATACTTTAATTTCAATTTACTTATGGATATCTTAGTTGTGTTTTTGTATGAGTTACAAGGAACATCTAGAAGGCTGATCTGATTGGATCACAAAGTGCAAGAGGTGAAGTAATAAAGCTAGAAAGGTAGGTTAGTGTTAGGTTGGTCAGGCCTCTGTACACTAAACAGAGGAACTTATATGTGATCCTTGTGGCAAAAGGGAGCCCAGGAGTTTCTTGAGCAGAGGAGTGACCTGGTCAGACATACATTTTAGGAAAATCATTTTAGCAGGTGTTTGAAGGATGGATTGGATTGGGGAGAGACTTAAGGCAAGGTGGCCACTACTAATAGTCTCAGTGAGAGGACATGAGGTACTGAACCTGGGGGAGTAGAAAAAAGGGAGCACCTGCAAGAAATGTGCAGTTAGAAACAAAAAGATTAGTCAGCTGCTTGGATATGTGAGGAGAGTGAAAGTGAGGAGGTGAGGAAGATACTGAGATTGCACACCTGGGTGAATGAAAGGACAGTGGTACCCACAACAGAAATGGGCAAGTTCAGTAGAGGGATGAGGTCATGATATAGATTGCAACCCATCCATGCCTGCTCAGCCTGTGCTACTCACTCTGTCATACCCAAAACAAAAAGGGGAGAAGAGGATGGGCAGACAACCAGTGATGTGGAAGGCAGGGAGGTGCGGGATATGGTATACTCTGGGAAGGTGGGGGGGCTTTTCCCCCATGGGACCTATGTAGCTGCTGCTGTTGGTGTCCAGACTGAGGTTAGGTTATTGGTCCTCTAAGGGACAACAATCAGTACAATAGTGGGAAAGATGGCAGCTTGAATAGCCCAGCAGGTACTGAAGTAGGGGAGTGTTGTTGGGTGTGGGTATGGTTGTTGGAGAGAAGCCACACTATTGGCTATTGTAGAGGGTGGGATGCAACTCATTTTCCCACTCTCCCACTGGTTGATGATATACCCCTTGGGGTCATACTAAAGCCTCCTGATAGGCCTTAGATTCCTCTCTGGAGACCACAGCCCTATGGGACTGAACTCTTAACTAGCTGTTGTCTTATACTTTATCTACGATAGTCCTACGATCTTTGTATCATACAGCTAAACTTGTGATGAATTCAGTTTCTTCCTAGCACAACAACATCATTATTTGAACAATTATATGTAATCTTTGAGATTCCAAACAGGCAAATCTGCAAAAACAACAGGCCTCATATAGAGGCCTGCCATTCTTGCTACCTTAATTATAACTGTTTACATTCACATATGCTTTGAGGGGTTAAAAAGTTTTACAAACTCTGTCTCATCTCAGACATTGATTAGATTGTATACCTGGCTAAGTCACTTAACTTTATAGCCTCAGTTTCCTCATCTATAAAATGAGGTGATCAGACTTGATGGTTTCCAAGTCGCCTTCTAGCTTAAATCTAGGACCCTGCGAGTGTCATTCATGAGTCTAGCATCTCTGGGGCTGTGTATTCCTCTTACTCATCTACAGTCAGCAAGGGGTGGGAAGGGCTTCAGTAATTATAGTTCAGGGTATGAAAGTACTCAAGCCTCCTGCAGTTGCTGTGAAATAGGATGCATTGTCACAGTCCCTCAAGATGGTGTTGCCACTCTTCTCATGGGACCTCCAAGAGTCTAGCATTTCCTGAGCTCTGTATTCCTCTAAACAATCTACAATCAACAGGGGTGGGAAAGGCTTCAGGATATAGTTCAGAGTTTGAAGACACTCAAGGCTCCTGGAGTTGGTAGAGAATATGATCCATTGCTACATTCCCTCAAGATGGTGCCTCCATAGTTCACTTGTGGCTTTTACTACACACAGCTTCTTACCCCATATTGTGTATTTCCTCTCTGTGTTAGTCAGCTTACAGAAGAAGTCCATACAGAGCCAAGCCTGTGACCTGGGTGGCCTCCTATGGCAATGCTGAATTCATTGGTCTCTTTAGTGAACTACTTCTGAGGGTATGAGCAGATCAACACGGAAACTAGGGTAAAAGTGGTTCTTAATATAACTCAATGTCTACTCACCACTCCCAGAACACACCTTATGCTTTCCAATTTTCAGGTAATCATTCATGTTGTCCTGTATTCTTGGAATACCTCCCCATTTTTCCATGGATACAAATCCAACTCATCCTTCAAGGCCAAAGGCAAATGTGAAACATTCTGTGAAATTTTCCATGATCAATCTGACCAAAAAACAATCAATTTTCTTCTGGTTTTTTTTTCTTCATCCCTATTTTTTAAACAAATGAGCTGTTGTTTGTCCTTCATTTTCGAAGATGATATCACATGGTGAATTGGATTTAAGTGAGGCAGAGTTGCACAAAGTCACCAGCCTCACTCTCCCTTCCACATCACAGAAGTCAGTGGCAAGACAAAATTCAGGATGACTGGCAATGACCCAGGACGCAGTGGCTGACCTTGGTGTGTTCCACGTCTGACCAAGCTCTGAGTGCTCCACAGTGCCTACTTCAGCCACCTCTATGGCTGTTGGAACAAATTGTTCTTTTCTGCCCATTATGCTGGGGGAGGTCTTCACATGATTGGGGTAAACAAGCCTCTAACTCACTGACAGATTTGAGGGCCCTCGGTTACCCTTAACCTGGTTTAGCCCATCTGCTGAGGCAGTTTTATTGGGGTATGATCGCTATACATGCTGTAGCTTCTTGGAGCCACAGGTGAGAGGTGAGTACTGGGTAGACACCAAAAGTGGTTGAGCAGCCCTGAAAAAGGCTTGGCAGCCCTCACCCCAGATGTGCTAGTCCATCTCGAACACTTCATACACCCCAAACAAAGGGGACCAAAATCTCACAGCAGAACTAGGGCTCAGGCCCCGGTGTTGTGATTCAAATCTAATTGTCTTTCCACCACACCATGCTGCCTCTTCCATTCATATGGAAAGTAACGCTGTCACTGATATCATCTTATAAAATAGATGATGGTGACATATAGGTAATGGTTATTGATCTACAAGTTTTGTGCATTTTTAAAACTTTCATTTATACTGTACATGTGAGAAATAATTCATTTGGACCCCTACTCTATTCCAATCAGTACTAATCAGTTTGATAGGATTCCATGGGGTAGTGATTATAAGTTCTGTACATTAGCCCTACAAACAGCAGGTTGTAAGCTCACTTGCTTAATCATAGGAATCTAACTAGGGGCCCTCCACCCTTGTTTTTCTTTGCTAGGGTGACCAAGCCCAGCATGATGGAGGTGACCCAATTACATGGAAAGTCCTTCAATTTATTTTTGTACCTCTGGACCACTCTTTCTTGTCCAGCAAGAACAAGCAGTCATCTTACCACCACCTTATGACCACTTAATGAGTGGAGATGCCCCACGCTTCCTCTAAACTGCAACTCCCCTGAGGATATGTCATTTTTGGCCCACAAATCCAGATCAATCAACCAATGGGATTCGGTACTTTGGACAGCCTCTCTAGAGTGTTCAAGTACCAAACCTGATATCAAGCCTTATAAAAATAAGGTCCTGGAAGAAGAGGGGTATTTCAGCTCATGAGGAAGAATGGAGGTCCACTTCATTAGAAAGGACCATGGACCCTTTAATAAAGCACTGCTGGCTCAGAGCTCTGCCTCATTCTCTTTTATTGTAGGTCGGACAATTTTAATCCCTACATATGTACAATTATTTGCATATTGTCTCCTCCATTAGTATATGAGCTCTTTGTTTTTCTCTATATCCCCAGAGCTTAGCACAGTGCCTGGCACTTAACATACACTTGTTGACTGACCTCTTGCTTAATTTCATTCTTCTTAGACTGTAGATCCTGGAGTTTGGGCTGTTCTCCCTTTCTTTCCTTCACTTGTAATTGGTTATTTGGCTCAGCTGAAGACGGACGAAGACCCTATCAAAATATAATAAATATAAATAATAAAATCAAAAAGAGTTATTTTTAAAATATCCTTTTCTGATGAGACAAAGGCCCTATTAATAACATCATCTATAAAGTAAAATAGTTCTCTTTTTAAAAACATTCTCCCGTAGCTCTTTTCCTTCTGAAAAAAGAGACTCATTGTGAATTAAACTCAATATTTAGGGATAGTTGCTAATAGCAGTGACTAGAAGGAAAGTGTATCAGTGGAAACATGATATTCTATGGTGCCATATGAGACATCTAGTTTCAGTTTCTCAATGGATAAATGATAAGGGAGATGTGAAAAATCTGATGTTTAACCTCTTGGGGATGGAATATGGAATAGATTTGCTTTTGATGTAAGGGAAAAAAATCAGGAAACTATGTTCAAGTAAAAGGCACAGAAAGGCATAGAAAGTAAAATTTCTGAGTTAGATTATTGATTTTCTTCCAAAATTTAGCATTTTACTTACCAATTGTTTTTCTACTTTCAGCTTGTACTGTTGAGCTTCCAATCTCCTCTGAAGGTACTCAGCAGGCCTTGAGAAAAACAATATTTTTTTTCAGCTAGAGGAACAATTTAAAATAGTTTCAGGAAACCAGACTGACAGCTGGCAGATCTTAGTGCATGGTTGAAAATCCAATTTCACTTCATCTTTATGAAGTGAAAAGGACAACTCCAAGATCAAGGAACAGGAGGAGGTTCATTGAGTGTTTCCATGAAGAATATCCATAAACTTGAGAGTGAACTAGGTGGAGGGGGAAAAACTGTGGGAAAGAAGTCTTCTCCGAAGCTACTTTTCCTGGAATAGACAACTTAATGTTTTTTCAGAAAAACCAGCTCACTATCTGTTTATGCCACAAAAGTTATCTATCTCTTTAAAGAGCATGTTTTTTGAAGTGTTTAGTTAACTCAACATTGACAAACCAGCCTCTAGTCTTACATATTCATGTTAAAAAAAACCCCAACAATACATATCTGCCTGCAGAATTGTATACAAAGTTTTAAATGATTTATTATTTAATGTCACTGATTCATAACTACTAGAGTCTTTGCTGTGAAAGACAGTACAGAATAGTGCATAGAGAGGCAGAAAGTCCTGAGTTCAAGTCTCATCTCTGCCCTATACTGCCTGTGTGACCCTGGGCACATCACTTACCCTCTTATGCCTCAAGCAACTCTGTAAGATGCAGAGAAGGTGCCTGTCTGCACTATTGGAGGAAGTTCTTTGTTCTTCACAAATGGCTTCTTAAATGCATGAAAGCATGCATAAATCCAGTTGAAACAGAATCAATGTTCTTTCAGGATTTATGGGACAAACTTTCTTATGTGATTATAAAGTTCTTTCATGTGGAATAGAGTCTCTATACTCAAAAGCAAATAACTTTAATTATCAGTGTTCTCTAATTTAATTTGAATGTTAGTTATTTATTAAGAGATTACTATTTGCAGAGTACTATTTTCATGAGGTATCTAGGTGGCACATTGACTTAAGTGCTGGGCCTGGAGTCCTGAGTTCAAGTCTGGCCTCTTACACTTAGTAGCTGTATGACCCTGGACAAGTTGCTCAACATCTGTTTGCCTCAGTTTTCTGAACTGAAACATGAGGATAATAATAGCATCTACCTCACAGGGATGTTGTGAAGTTCAAATGAGGTAATTTTTGTGAGTTGTTTAGCACAGTGCATGGGTGCTTAAGATCTAGAATGAGTTATGAGATAATTACAAACAGCTGCAATCCAAAACATGATAAAGAGGTGGGAACTACAGAAGATAATGGGAGAGATAATTACTCCCTGGGAGGATCAGGGGTATGTTGGGGGAAACAATATACCCAGGACACATTTTAAGTTTAATCTGCATTATTAACATTTATCCATCACTTTCTTAAGTCGACAATCAACAAAAAATAAATCAAGCCTAGTTTGTTTGCTTATTTCCTAGGTGAAAATTTAACAATCAACTTTCCCAAGCATATTAGAGTCAAACTCAGCACACTCCTAGGGGTAGGGCATTCAGGGCATAGAAAGAGATGTGAAAAATGTAACTAATGAAAAAGGCACAGAGCACCTAAGGGAGGGTGGGGTGGCAAGCGGTCTAATTTGGTAAAAGCTCACTCTACATAGAAATGAGTAGTATGAGGCAAGCTTGGAAAAGTAGAGTGGCCCCAGCTTAGAGAGAACTTTGTCTTCCACGATAAGGATTTTACTTGGTAGACCACAACGAAAGGTAGATGACAATAAAAGGTAGACAAATGAAAGGTTTTAAGCAGAGGAGTGGTATGACCAGATCTATTGTTGACCTGATTCCATTCTGAAAGACTGAAAAGGAAGAAAGAGGAGGCAAGATGAAGTAGTAGACTAAGTAGTAAGGAAGGTCTAGGCCAGGCTGAGGGCAGCTGCTAGCACTTATACGGTACTGTACTGTAGGAATTGAAATACTACAGAGGTAAAAGTGATAGGATTTAGCAACTAATTGGATGTTGGAGATGAGAGAAAAGGGAAGAGTCAAAGGTAATCTGGAGGTTGTTTGTTTGTTTGTTTGTATTTAAATGGGAGATTGAATAATATTCTGATGGATAGAAATCTTGAAGTCATGAGAACATTTGAGGAGTTGGAGATAATAACTCTAGCTTTAAACATTTGGATTTTGAGATCCTAGTAAAACATTCACGTAAAAAATACCCTAATAGCTTGTTGGAGATGTAACTCCAGAGTTCAGGACAGACTTCTGAGACCATGATAAATATATGCAAGTCACTTGTGCAAAAGTATGAAGGTCTGACAGTAAAAGAGGATTTCTAAGGGAGGCAGTATAGAGAGAGAAAAGAAGAGAGTTGAGAACAGATCACTGTAGAAAAAAATAGCTTAAGGAAGTGGAAAGAGGAAGAGGAGGCAGCAAAAGAGACAAAGAAGGAAGGGGTGGTTCAGAAAAGTATTGGGAGTGCTGTCTCAAAAGCTGAAGAAAAAAATATTCTGAAGAAATGAAGGAGAGTGTCAATAGCATTAAATGTTAGAGAGAACAAAAAGATTGTTGACTGAGAAGGACCACTGGATTTGGCGATAAGGAGGGTATGCGTGACCAATGAGAGGTCAATTTCTGTGGAGTGATGGAGAAGGAAGCCAACTAAGAGAGAGTGAGTGGTAGGGAAGCTAAGGCATCAGGAAGACTTTCTTTAAAAAATTTGGTAGTCAAGAGGGGAGAGTTGGGGCAGTAGCTAGATAGGGTATAGGTTAAGGGAAGGTTCCTACTGAAAAAAGGGGGAAAAAACCACTTTGAAAAAATCAATATAGACAGTTCTGTACCTATAATCAGATTATTTCCCAAATGTTTGTAACTTGCTTGTTTGGAATGTGGAACTTATTTCCCCAAAGAAGAAGTCGTCTAATCTCTTCCATGGGACAAGTCTTCACATGCTTATTAAAAATAATAATAATAAACCCAATTATTAATCTTTCTGTCTTCTTTTCTTCAAGCCAAATACTGCCATATCTTTCAACTGATTCTTACATGGCACAGACTCCAAGACCTTAATCGTCCATGTTGCCTTTTTCTGGGCGCCCTCTAGTTTACCAATGTCTTTCCTAAAATATATCCCCCAGAATTGAACACAGCACTACGACCAACTGAGCCAAACCCCACAGAACTATTGCCTCCTTTACCCTGGATCCTATACTTCCCTATTGGGCAGCTAAGTAGCACAGTAGATAGAGCACTGGGTCTGGATTCAGGAGGACTCATCTTTCTGAGTTCAAATCCAGCCTCAGACACTTACTAGCTGGGTGATCTCAGGCAAGTCACTTTACCCTGTTTGCTTCAGTTGTCTCATCTGCAACACGAGCTGCAGAAGGAAATAATAAACCATTTCAGTCTCTTTGCCAAGAAAACCCTAAACAGGGTCTTGACGAGCCAGACACAACTCGAACAGCAAGCAGCTCTCTGAATGCAGCTTCAGGTTGTATTAGCTTTCATCGCACTGTTGACCACACTAATTTTGAGCTTGCAGTACACTAGAACCCCGAGATCCAATCTTGCCTCCTCAATCTTGTATTTGTGAAGTTGATTTTTGGAGCCCAAGTATAAGACTTTACACTTATCTCTTTCAAATTTCACTCTTACTCAATACAGTCCATTGTCCTAGACTGTCAAAAATTTTTTTGAATCCTGATTCTGTTAGCCATTGTTTTAACTAACCCTTCCAGATATAATTAATCTCTTTACATTCCATTCTATTCCAACTCTTTATTAGACATTTTTATTCTAAAGACCATTCTCCCTGCCAAAGAAAAGAGCAATACTGTCTTATCTCTCTGATCAGTTAACATCATTCCATCTACCACAAGTTGCTGCCTTATCTCTTCTTTAAGGCTCCTCTTTCCCTCAATAAAGCTTACACACACACACACACACACACACACACACACACACACACACACACACACACACATACACACCCCTTATTCTTAGCTTTCTGTGCTAGTCTTAGCTTATTCTGAACTTTACCACTCCTGAAACTGTTCTTACAGGACCATGTTACTGTTGTTTTCATTCTCCATTACCTGCTTTTCCTTCCATTTTCTGAACATGTCTTTTAAAAAAAAAATCTCTACCATGTTGGTTTTTGCATCCATATCAATATCTTTAAAAACAAACAAACAAACAAAACCTCTCCCTTTTTCTTTTCATTGGAATAGTTTCATTGTGTCTTGTGGAAAGAGAACTGAATTTTGAGTCAGAGCAGGAGTGTGCAGAGACTAGAGCTGATTATTAAATTTTCAGTGTAAACATTTATACCTTGGAAATTAAAAAAAAATGCTACAAATCAGGGCTTGATTTATTTTTTGGTTGATTGACTAGACCTAAGAAAGTGATGGGTATGTTGGTTGTTAAATATTTACCAGCACATCCCTGAAGAGGACACATATTCAAAACCTAATCTCCATGGGCCTCAGTTTCTTCATCTGTAAAATGAGAGGCTCTAACTAGGTGATCTCTAACGCCCCTTTCAGCTCTAAATCATATGCCAAGTCTTGTTGGACCAACTTCATTTCCTTTTTTGGAAGAGTTTACTAGGCTGTTAAATCTATATTTGCATGTACAGCATTTCCAAAAGGCATTTGACAAAATCTCATGATAGCCTTTTGAACAGAAAGATGAAATGCCAGTTGGATTTGGAGCTGGTTGAGTGACTACACACAAAGAATGGGGATTAGCAGATTGAGGTCATTCTGGAGAAATGACTCTCTCCTGAGTTTTGTTCAATATGTTTATCAATGATTTTATCAAATTTGCAGATGACACAAAGCTCGGAGGGATGATAAATATAATGGATGACAGGATGAAAATCCAAAAAGATTTCAACAGACTGGATTGATGTCTTGAATCTAATAAAATGAAATGTAATAGGAAATAATATAAATTCTGCACTTGGGTTCACAGAAAAATGAACTACAAAATTACAGAATGGAGAAGACTTGGCTTGATAAGAGTTATATAAACTCCAATATTTAAACACTGGAAAAATACTCAGGGGACCAAATTACATTATATGAGCTTAATGGAATACTATTGTGTCATTTTTGTTCAGTCATTTTTCAGTTGTGTCTGACTCTTTGGAGATTTCCTTGGCAAAGAAACTGGAGTGGTTTGCATTTCCTTCTCCAGCTCATTTTACAGATGAGTTAACTGAGGCAAACAGGGTTAAGTGATTTTTTCCAGGGTCACATAGCTAGTAAGTGTCTGAAGCCAGATTTGAACTCACAAAGATGAGTCTTCCTGACTCCAGGGTCAGTGCTTTATCCACTGCACCCTCTAGCTGCTGCCATTTTGCATCAGGAATGATGAATATGAGGAATTAATTCAGAGGAACAGGGGAAGATTTGTGTGAATTGATACAGAGCCAAGGAAATGATCAACAGTTTGAGATACGTGTATATACACACACACATATGCATACCTATATATATAAATACACACATGTGCATGTGTGTATATATATATGTGCACAGAAACATGTCTCATGTAGAAATGTTTTACATGACTTCATATGTATAATGGGTATAATATTTCATGTCTTCTCAGTGGGTGGGAGAGGGTTGGCAGGAGAAAATTATTAACTGCAAATAGAAAAATTTAAGTGAAAAAATTTAAAAGAGCATCAATAAAACATTGTAAAATTTAAAAAGAAAGTTTTATATGTACAGAGACCAAAATAATAAAAATTCAGACAACTGAAATTCAGATAAATATAATGGGCAATCATTGGTCCAGAGTCCCAGTGAGAAGATACAATTCTCCTTCTGATAAAGAAGCCGTGGACCATAAGTGCAAAATGTCTTATATGCTTTCAGATTCAACTATTGTTTATTTTGCTTAACCGTTTTTCTTTGTTACTAGTTAGGATTCTGTGTGTTAGAGGGTTTATTGGAAATTAACAGTAGAATAAAAAAGCATATGTCAAGTATTTTAAATACTTAGAGGTTTCAATTGACTGTAAGCTGACTATGAATAATGATAATAACAATAACTTACATTTATATTGTGCTTACTTTGTATATAACGCTAGAAACTATGCTACATACTTTACAATTACTATCTCATTTGACCCTTGAAACAACTCTGAGAGGCAGGTATTACTATTATCCTCATTTTACAGATGAGGAAACAAGGTAAGTGTCTTGCCCAGGGTCCCACAGCTAGTAAATATTGGAGGTTGAATTTGAACTTAGGTGTTCCTGACCCCAGACCCAGTGTTCTATCCACTGTATCACCTAGCTGCCTATGAAAAAAAAATCAGTTTAATATTACTTCCAACACGAATAATAGGATCTTTACAATAATAATGATGATAATCTGATATTTACATGATGCTTTAAGATTTGCAAAGCACTTCATGTTTTGATCCTCACAATAACCTCAAGTGGTAAATAGTATATAGGTATTATGATCAATCCCTATGTATGAGATAGGTGAAGAACTCACAGTCCGGGTATGTACTAATAGGTAACTGTTAGCTGAAGCCTGGAGGCCTCAGTGATGTGATGTTAGATGATGAGGACTGGGCTGCATACCATTGTCCTAAAAAGGAATTGGAATATATGTGGCCGGAGGAACTATACCATTACCTCAGTCACCGCATTCCATTGTCCGAATAAGGAAAGAAAAGTTTATTTAGCCAATCACAATGTATAGAAGGTGGAATTTTCGGGGTTCTTTGTCTAAAATGTATAAAAACTGCACACGCGCTCAGGGGAGCGGCCCTCCTGCTGTGAGCATTTCTGTTGTCCTTTCCGCTTGCAGTGGGACTGCCCGCTTCTCATGAGATTCTAATAAATTTTCTGCACCCTACTTGGAGTGACTCCTGAGTAGTCAATTTGGGTAGGGGTCTTCGCCGTCCCACACACCCATTTTACAGAAGAGGAAACAGATTCAGAAAACAATTATAAAGCAACTAATAGGTGTCAGAGGCAAGATTCAACCATCAAAGACTATATCACTTCCAAATATAAGCCCAGCATTCTTTCCACTCTACCACGCTGTCTCTATATAATAAAATAAAAAAGCACAATGTCCAAAATGAGAGAGAAGAGAGTACACTGTACTCTGTGCTAAGTAGACCACATCTGGGAAAATGTATTCTATTCTAGGTATCATCATTATCATCACAGCTAACTTTTCCATAGCACTTTAAGGTTTGCAAACACTGTAATAATAATAATAACACTAATTATACTGTAATAATAATAAATTATAATAAATCAAATCTCTCTTATCTCTGAGAAAAAGAAGATTCATATGCCCCGGGCCATATTTATTTATTTTTGTCCTCTATATCTCTGAATTCCTCAAATTTATTATTACTGATAACACAATAATATTTTATTAAGAGATTCAACTCTCTTCACCATCCTGATTCTATTCCAGTTTGTTAAAATTCCTTTTACAATTGTCCTGAGGTGGCAAAACACTTTACATATGTTGTCTCATTTGAACCTCAAGACCACCCTGGGAGTGAGATGTTATCATCATCCGCATCTTACACATGAGGAAACTGAGTCTGGGAGAGGTTAACTCTGCTAGAAAGTGCCTGAGAGAGGATTGGAACTCAGGTTTTCCTGACCTTAAGTCCAGCACTCCATTTGCTGTTCTACCTCACCTGGCCACCTCAGGACAATTTTAAGAAGGATGTTGACAAACTGGAATAGTGTCAGGATGGTGAAGAGATTTGAATCTCTTAATGGCATATTATTGTGCCATTACCAACGATTAATATAAGGAATTCAGAGAAATAGGGGACAAGAAAAAATTTAAATATGACCGTGGCATATTTTCTTCGATACAAGGGATTTAATTTATTGTTATTGTCATTAGACATTATTGTTATTACAATGCTATTAGATATAGCCCTCCTATTAATTAATTCTGTATATTAATAACTGAGAAAATAACAGGTATAAATTGTAGGGACTAAATGATCAGGAATTTCTACAGTTTTGCATGTTCTTTAACCTACCTTCAAGATTACACTGTTTTCTATGCCCTGCACAGCCTTCTATATCCTGAGAAGGCCCATTCTACTTTTAAATAGTTTTAATTGTTTAATGGTTGTTTTTTTCTCACACTGAGCCTAAACTAGCTCCTTTTCAATTCCCATTGTTCCCAGTTTCGCCCCTAGGGCCATGCAGAACTAATTAAACCCCTCTTATATCTGAGAAACACTTCATATCTTTGAAGACAGCTATCATGTCCCCTTACTCCCCAAAAGCCTACTTTTCCATGGGTTTTCATCCCCAGAGTCCTTCAGGTGATTTTCATATGGCATGATTTCAAGACCTTTCACCACTTAAGTCCCCCTCCAACTTATCAATGTCCAAATGCAGGTACAACTAGCTTGTGAGGGAAGAGAGTAAAAAAAGAATAGCAAATGAGGTGAAAAGTAAAGGGAAGAAGGATATTTTAGTAGACATTCTTACTTTATTATTTGCTTTTGGAGAAACTGTAAATATCACAAAATAAAGAAGGTTGGTTCAATCAAAATATTATTAGAATATTAAAGTTTAAGTATGAATTTATTACCATTGAGCTGGAGGTGAAGCATAGCCATCTTTCTGTTTATAATATCTATCAACTCCTCTGTTGATTCCAGAAACATACTGATACCTTGGGTCACAAGCTTTCTTCTGTAAGACGTCCAGCTGAGCATAAAAATGACCATAAAATCTGCAATCTGGAGCAACTTCTGGTCTTCCTACCATCTTTTTCTGAGGACTTTGATGCTAAAAATAACATATAGTAAAAAAATTATAATAATGAGTTGATATCTAATGTGCCAAAAAAAGTTGAAAAGTATTTTAAAAAATATATCTGTGTCTTTTTCTAAGAAATTATCTTAGGGGCAGCTAGGTGGCGCAGTGGATAGAGCACTAGCCCTGAAGTCAGGAGGACCTGAGTTCAAATCTGGCCTCAGACCAAACACTTGATACTTACTAGCTGTGTGACCCTGGGCAAGCCACTTAACCCCAATTGCCTAAAAGCCATAAAAAAAAATTATCTTAGAATTATTGAATCTATTAATTAATTTTTAATAAACAAATATCAGTCCTCTCTCCATTTCTTCTTCCTCCTCCATCCACCCAGAAAAAAAAGAAAAGCAAAATTCATGCAACAAATTCACAGTCAAGCAAAATATATTCCCACATCAATCATGTCTAAAAATGAATGTCCCATTCTACACATCTAGTTCAACACCTATCTATTAGGAGATGGGCAGTCCATCAGTGTTCTGGAATCATGGTTGAGCATTGTGTTGATCAGATTTCTTAAGTCTTTCAAAATTATTAGTCTTTACAGTGTTGTTGTTATAATATAAATACAATATAAATTATTCTCCTGGTTCTGCTCACTTCTTTCTGCACTAGTTCAAAGTGATGTTCATGGATGCCCACTCCTTCCATCCCTTCCTCATTTTATAGATTTCTACTTGCTCTCCAGATTATGTGAGATAAGTTTACTCCCACCATTCCAATGCTTTACTTTCCTATTGTATCCTTCCCTTTTCCCCTTCCCTTTCCTTTCGCCTTTTAAGATCATAAAAAAAATCCAAAAATCTCAGGCTCTCCATCTTATTTGATTTCTTCTATGACTCTTGTTGACACTTTAATTCCTAAGAAATGCTTTTACCACCTCATTAGAATGCAAAAACTTCATCCTTATAAAACCTTTTCTGTTTGCTTGCTGTATTTACCTTTTTATGTTTCTCTTTACTCCCATCTATGTCATTCAAATTTCTACTTAGCTTTGGTCTTTTCATAGAAATATTTGAAAGTTTTATTTCAATAAACTCTATCCCCCCCATAATTATATTGTTTTTCTGGGTAAATTATTCTTGCTTGTAAGACGTAAAGGCAAAAGTCATCTTTGGCCTTTGGTAATCTCGTATTCCATGCTCTCTGCTCCTATATATTAGTAGCTGTTAAATCTTGTGTGATCCTGACTGTGGCTCCTTGGTACTTAAGCTCTTTCTTCCTGGCTGCTTCCAGTATTTTTTTTAACCTGGAGGTTCTGGTTTTATGCTATGAAATTATCAGTAGTTTTCATTTTGGAATTTCAGGAGGTTACCAGTAGAGTCTTTCTATATCCACTTTGTCCTCTAACCTTTATCTCCTCATGCTTGGACTAGTGTCATAGCCTGCTGGTTGGTGTGCCTGCCTCTCGCCACTCCACTCTATGCTCCCTTCAATGATTTTCCTAAAATGCAGGTCTGGCCAGATTAGCTCTTTACTCAGTAACTTTCATTGCTTCCTCTCACCTCCCAGACCAATAAAATCCTCTGCTTGGTACCCACAGAACTTCATTATCCAACCTTCCCCCCCACCTTTCCAACCTTCTTGTACAACTTCCCTTTATCCCATTCTTACATCCAGGGATGCTGACCTTCTTGATGTTCCTCCAACAAGAAACTCCAAGTATTTTCACTGACTGTCCCCCATGCCTTCATTTCCTACCTTCCTCATCTTCTTCTTGTCCTAGCTAAAGTCCCATCTCCTACAGGAAGCCTTTCTTAATCCTCCTTAATTTTAGTGCCTTCTCTCTATTGATTAGTTCTCATTTATCCTGTATACAATTTATTGGTACACAGTTTTTGCATGTTGTGTCCCCCATTAGACCGTGAATATCTTGAGAAAAGGAACTCTCTTTTGCCTTTATTTGTATCGTCAGCACTTAGCACAGTGCCTAGCACATAGTAGAAGGTTAATAAATGCTAATTGACTGATGGTTTTTCCCGTGGTTTCTTGAAATATATCTATTTTCTTTTTTTAATCATGACTTTCAGGTAGTCTAATAATTATTAAATTTCTCTTCCAAGGTCAGTTGTTTTTGATATGAGGTAACTTACTTCTCTATTTTTTTGCTTGTTTTAATACTTCTTGTATAATTACTTCTTGTAATCTCATGGTGTCATTAACTTTTACTTAGTTCATTCTAATTTTCAGAGTGGATGATACTTGGTTTTGTACCTCTTGTGTGAAGCTGTTAATTCCCTTTCCAAATCTCTCTTCCATAGCTCTTCTTTTCCCAATTTGTTCCTCAATTTCCTCTATTTACTCCCATTTCATTTATATTACCATTTTAATTAATTTTTTAAACATTAACAACATTTCTGCTTAAAACTGTAATGGATCTTGCAGACAAGCTGTGTATTATTTGGAGGTTATGCCTGTAGGTGTTTTGGAATTATTCTCTTCTCTTGAATTTATATCTTGGGCATCTCTGTCTAATGCCCTCCTTCCCAAATTTCTATTTACTGTGCTAGACTTCAGATCAGGAAGACCAAAGCTCAAATGCTGCTTCAGATCACTAGCTGTGTGACACTCAGCAAGTCATTTGACGTTTCTTATCCTCAGTTTCCTTAACTATAAAATGAGGATAATATTTAAATCACTTTCCTCATAGGGTTGTTGTAAAGATTCAATGAGATTACATATGTAAATTGTTTTTCAAAGCTTAAAGTGCTGTATAAATACCACCTGATATTGTTACTATTATTATTATTCTTTTAATATTTATTCAACTTATGTGTCATCTCTCCTGCTAGAATGTGTACTCCTTGTGAGTACTCACAATCTTGTAAGTAGGGATTGTTTCATTCTTTGTGTTTGTAACCCATCACCTAGTACACTGCCTGGCATAGAAAAGGCATTTAATAAATATTTATTTATTGCAAGGGGGGAGAGGAAATGCTCCTTATAATAATAGGGAAGTTCAAAAGAGAAGAAGATTTGGAGGAAAGATAATGAGTTCAGTTTTGGACATATTAAGTAAAATATCGCATGGCTATTAAGTATCGGAGCCAAGATTTCAACCTAGATTTTTCCAACTTTATTCAAGCTGTCCCTAACAAAAAGCTACCAATGAGTTACCAATGGACATTGGTTCAAAAATACCTTTCAGGAATAGTTCCTCTATTTAAACTCCAGGTTTTTTTTGTTTTTGTAGGACAAAATGCCCTCTCCTCTGGCTACCCTGGTGTCCCTTCTTCTGATTGGTTGTTCCTTCTAAAAGCTCCATTTTAAGAAAAATGCCCCAGCAAGCCATATCTTCATCCCCTCCAGGCTCCATTCCTGACACTCCAGATTTTCTCGATCATTCCCCCCTTATTCACTCTGCAAGTTCACTCTATCCCTGGACTTCTCACCCTAGAAATACTCTCTACTACCTGGGGCTCCTTCCTCTGATTGGCTGGCTCCCCCAGAACCAACATTTTAAGGAAAATGCCCAGGCCAGCCATGTCTTCATTGTCTCTGGGTTCCACTTCTGATTCTCTAGACTTTCTCTTCCATGCCCCTGACTGGGTTTTCAGTTCCCTTTTATGTGTTCTCTTCCCCCATTAGAATGTAAGCTCCTTGAGGGGCTGCCTTTCTGCTTGTATATGTATTCCCAGCACTTATCAGTGTTTGATACATAGTAAGAACTTAATAACCGAATTTAACTTGACTTGACTTAATCTTTTATAATCTGAATCCAGTCCACCATGCTAGTCTTATCATGCATTTCACCCTTTCATGCTCAGGGAAACTAGCCTTCTTACTGTTCCTCATATCCAACATTCTATTTACCACCTCCACGTACTCCCATCTCACTTCTGCCTCTTGGAATCCCTTATTTCCTTCAAAACTGTACTCAAGGACCATTTTCCTACATAAATTGTTTGCTGATTCTGTCAGCTACTGATGATCCCTTCCTCCAAAAATTTATTATACACACACACTTTTCTGTATATATACATGTACAGATATATGTATGCATATATGTAGATATACACATGTGCATCTATGTATTGTGTATATATGTACAAAGATAGGTCTCTGTATATATATGTTATATATATACATGTCTATGTATATATGTGTATATGTATGCATATGTATCCTTTCTGTGTGTGTGTGTGTGTGTATGCATGTGTGTGTATCTATATATTTTTATATTTTCCAATAGCATGTAAACTCTGTGGAGGTAGGTGCTGTTTCATTTTTTGTCTTTTTATCACTATTGCCTAGCACAGTTCCTGGCACACATTGGACACTTAATAAAGTTTGTAGATTGACTGAAAATAAAGAAAATACCTTAGGATAAAGACAATGGGGAAACTCACCAGTGTTGGCTTCTGAGCTCTAGGAGGTATCCATTCTTTTCTAAGTAGCAACTCCCGTCTCTTGGGGGGCATCAGGATCTTACATTTTGGTGGATGATTACCCTGGAATCGCCTTTTCTGCATTATTGGACCTTATTTATGTTGTTTTTTTTTAAGAAAAAAGAGGCAATCAGGATGCATATACATTTTAACTAATCATATTAATAACATAATTATTATATTTTATAATTTTATGTTCATATAAATAAAGAGTAATTACAACCTGTATTCCATAGCACTACAAATTTATTCAAGCTACTGTAAGCGCTATGCTACATATATAAGCAAAAGACAGCCCCTCAGGATGCTTACATTCTAATGGGGAAAGAGAGCACAGAAAGGGGAGTTGAAAACCTAGGTGGAAACATGGTAGAAAAAGCCTAGAAAGTAAGGACCAGACCCTAGAGAGGATGAAGACATGACTGTCCTGTGCACTTTCTTTTCATGGTCTGCTACTTAAGTTGGTTCCAGAGAGAACATATAAATCCCTCAGTAAAGTAGCTGACCTGAAATTCTGGCCCTCTCAGATAATACAAAGAGAGAATATACAAATTCTTTTAAGACCATCCTTCTCCCCAAGAAAAAGCATTAATGAATGAAATCATTTTGAGGCAAGACATGGAGTATAATCAGCAGCACACAAAGGCAGAAGCCAGAAGTAATTGTCAACTTTACTTTGGCTTAAGGCTTTCTAGTAGCTACTGGTTTTCATTAGGGCTCTGACAGGAATCTATGATTTTCAGGCTTTTGAGACATGGAAATGCTAAGAAAGTTAGACTCATAAAAATACTGCCTTTCTCCTTGTCAAGGCCAACCTCTTTACCTGCATAGGTAACCTCATTCCATCCTGTTTCCTCCAGCAGATCGCCCCATCTGTAATCCCCACCATCTCACTTATTTTCAATCTCTCTTTGTCAAATGACTGCTTCTCTACTGCCTACAAACATGCCCATGTCTCCTCCATTCTCAAAGAAACCCAGAACAAAACAAAAACACTCATTTAATCTATCCCTTCCCAACTAATTACTGTCTTGTGTCTCCCCTGCCTCTTGTGGCTGACTCCTTGAGAAGGCCAACTTCAGCAGGTTCCTCCACTTCCTCTCCTCCCACTCTCTTCTCATCTCTCTATAATCTGGATTCTGACCACATCGTTAAACCAAAATAATAAATAAATAATGAATAGATAAATAAATAAAATAGAATAAACAAATAAATAAAACCAAAAACCATCTCCAAAGTTACCAGTGAGCTCTTGAATTGTCAAATCTAATGTCCTTTTCTCCACCCTCATCCTTCTTGACCTCTAAGCAGCCTTTGACACTGTTGATCATCCTCTTCTTGACACTCTCTTCTCTCTAGGTTTTCAGGACACTGCTCTCTCCTGGTTGTCCCACCTATCTGACTGTTCATTCTTAGTCTCCTTTGCTGGATCTTCATCTAGTTCATATCTGCCAATTGCAGGTGTCCTACAGGGCTCTGTCCTGGGCTCTTTTCTCTTTTCCCTCTATGCTATTTCACTTGGTGATATCTATAGCTCCCATGGATTCAATTATTATCTCTCTGCAGATGCTTCTCAGATGTGCTTTGCTTATCTAGCACTAACCTCTCTCCTTTCTGTCTCACATTTTCTATTGTCTATTAGATATCTCAAGATCAATGTCATCTGTAAACATCTTAAACTCAACATTATCTGAAACTTCACTCAAAATCTATTCCCCTTAACACTATCCCCTTCCAAACTTCCCTATTACTGTTGAGGACATCACTATCCTCCCAGGCCCACAGGCTCACAATCTAGATGTCTTCTTTGACTTCTCACCCTCTCTCACCCTCCTACATCCACTCTGTTGGCAAGGCTTATTGATTTTACCTTTATAACATCTCTCAAATATACCCCTTCTCTCTCTGATACTGCCAACATCCTGGTACAGGCCCTTATCTTCTCATATCTGGACTGTTGCCATAGCCTACTGGTTGCTTTGTCTGCCACAAGTCTCTCCCCACTCCAATCCATCCTCCACTCAGCTTCTAAAGAGATTTTCCAAAAGTCAAAGCTTGGCCATGTCATCACTACTCCTACTCAGTAAACTCCAGTGGCTTCCTGTCACCTCCAAGATCAAATATAAAATCCTCCGCTTTGCATTCAAGCCCTTCGTGATCTAGACTCCCCACCACCACCCCCTTTCTGTTTTTCTTTCATTTTACATCCTTCTCCTCCCCAGCTCCCACAGGTACTCTTCAATCCAATGACACTGGCCTCCTTGCTGCTCCTCAAACAAGACACTCCATCTCTCAGCGCCAAAGTCAGGAAGACTCAACTCCTTGCATTCAAATCTGGCCTCAGACACTTACTAATTGTGTGACCCTGGTCAAGTCACTTAACTCTGCCTCAGTTTCCTCATCTATAAAATGAACTGAAGAAGGAAATGGCAAACCACTCCAGTATCTTTGCCAAGAAAACCCCAAATAGGGGCTGGACACAACCTAACAACAACAAAACCAACTGACTGGTTAGAACAGTATCGTCTGAGTGCCATGAGTGGGATAGTATGAAAGGAGAAGCAGAGATTGAGGCAGTGATTGTAGAAAGGGTGAATCCATTTCACCCAACTCCTAATAGCTTACAATTCAGATTTAGAGTCAATAGTTGTGGATGAATAGAGCTGTGGCTCAGAAGGAGAAGAGCAGGAAGTGTAACAGGAGAGCAGGTAAGAATCCTCAATGCTAGGGGCATTACCAAAGAACAAAGAGGGAGTGAGATGAACAGGTGAGTGGAATGGCTGAAAGCCTTCAGCATCATCAAAGGACCTGAGAAGAGGGTGAGGTGCTTGGAGGGCTGCCTTCTAGCATCTTGTAGCTTTTATTGTGGATTTCTCTCTCCATAAAAATCATGGTGGGCATGGGTGAGCACACAGGGCATGCCCTAATAAAAGCTGGCCTTGAGACTTGCTTGCTAATACCACCCCCATAGCTATAACAGCATGGAATGGGCAGTGATGAGAACTGTCAGATTGCAGTTCCTCTCTAAACTGTGCACAGACAAGCTTGCCTCCAAGTTTCTGCAAAACAGAGATGATAATAATGCCTTTCTCACAGGTTTGTTTTGAGGTAAGCAACCAACAAGTCTTAAAATATTACATAAATATGAGTTATTGTTATTAATGTTTGCTCAATTAACATTGCTAATAACAATAATTCAGGAAGAACTATTATTTTTAAACCTAGGAATTTATCTTTATTTACATATATCCAAGCTGTCTTTGGTCCCTTGCTCCCTCTAACCCCTAATATAAAAAAAAATTGGTGCTTTTATCTCTTTTTTTAATATAAATTTATTTTTAGTTTTCAACATTTCCTTCCACAAGTTTTTGAGTCCCAAATTTTCACCCCATCTCCCCCTCCCCCCACCCCAAGATGTCATGCATTCTGAATATACCTTCCCCTACTCTGTCCTCTCTTCTCTCTCTCTCCCCTTCTCCTATCCCCTTCCCCTTTTATTTTGCTGTAGGGCAGGATAGACTTCTGTACCCCATTTCCTATATTTATTTCCCAGTAGCATGTGAAAACATTTTTTAAACATGTTTTAAAACTTTAGGTTTCAAATTTTCTCTCTTCCTCCCTCCCCACCCACCCTCATTGAAAAGGCAAGCAACTCAATATAAGTTGTACATGTGCAGTTATGCAAAACACGTCCATAGTAGACATGTTGTGAAAAACTAACTCTATTTCCCTTAATCCTATCCTGCCCCCCCCATTTATTCTATTCTTTCTTTTGACCCTGTCTCTCCTCTGAAGTATTTACTTCTGATTAACCCCTTTCCCAATCTGCCCTCCTCTCTATCATCCCCCTGCTCTCTTGTCCCTTTCCCCCTATTTTCCTGTAGGGTAAGACAGATTTCCATACCCAATTGAATGTGTATGTTATTCCCTCCTTAAGCCAAATCCTATGAGAATAAGATTCACTCATTCCCTCTCACCTTCCCCTGTTTCCCCTTCCACTGTAAGAGACTTTTCTGGGTTTTTTTGTGAGATAATTTACCCCATTCTACCTCTCCCTTTCTTCTTCTCCGAGTATCATCCTCTCTCATCCCTTAATTTTATTCTCCAGATATGACCCCTTAATCTTCAGCTCACCCTGTGCCCTCTATCTACATATACATACATATAATTTTTTTCCTCCAACTACCCTGATACTGACAAAGGTCTCATGAGTTATAAATATCATCTTTCCATGCAGGAATGTAAACAGTTCAATCTTAATAAGTCTCTTATGATTTCTCTTTCCTGTTTACCTCTTCATGTTCCACTTAAGTCCTGTATTTGAAAGTCAATTTTCTATTCAGCTCTGGTCTTTTCATCAAGAATGCTTGAAAGTCCTCTATTTCACTGAATGACCATTTTTTCCCCTGAAGGATTATACTCAGTTTTGCTGGGTAGGTGATTCTTGGTTGTAATCCTATCTCCTTTGCCCTCCAGAATATTATATTCCATGCCCTGGGTCCTTTAATGTAGAAGCTGCTAAATCTTGTGTTATCCTGATTGTGTTCCCACACTTGAACTGTTTCCTTCTGGCAGCTTGTAATATTTTCTCCTTGACCTGGGAACTCTGGAATTTGGCTACAATATTCCTAGGAGTTTTCCTTTGGGGATCTCTTTCAGGAGGAGATCTGTGGATTCTTTCAATTTCTATTTTGCCCTCTGGTTCTATATCAGGGCAGTTTTCCTTGATAATTTCTTGAAAGATGATGTCTAGGCTCTTCTTTTGATCATGGCTTTCAGATAGTCCAATAATTTTTAAATTCTCTCTCCTGGATCTATTTTCCAGGTCAGTTGTTTTTCCAATGAGATATTTCACATTGTTTTCTAATTTTTCATTCTTTTGGATTTGTTCTACTGTGTCATGATTTCTCATAAAGTCACTATCTTCCAATTGCTCTATTCTAATTTTTAAGGAAGTATTTTCTTCAGTAAGCTTTTGGACTTCCTTTTCCATCTGGCCAATTTTTCTTTTTAGGGCATTTTTCTCCTCATTGGCTTTTTGGACCTCTTTTGCCATTTGGGTTAGGCTATTTTTTAAGGTGTTATTTTCTTCAGTATTTTTTTGGGTCTCCTTTAGCATCACTCTCAGTTTTTCCTCTACTTCTCTAACTTGCTTCTCAAAATCGTTTTTGAGCTCTTCCATGGCCTGGGACCAATTCATATTTTTCTTGGAGGCTTTGGATGTAGGGGCTTTGACTTTGTTGTCTTCTTCTGGTTGTATATTTTGGTCTTCTTTTTCACCAAAGTAAGATAATATAGTCTGACTCTTTTTACGCTGCTTGCTCATGATCCCGGCCAATTACTTGAGTTTTAAACTCTTTATTAAGGTACGAATCTGCTTCCAATGTGGAGAATGTACTGTCCCAAGCTTCGGGGTTTGTACAGCTGTTTTCAGAGATACTTGTAGGGACCTGTAAATTTTCAGTTCTTCCAAGGTGGTATGATAAGGGGCAAGGTGTTTACTCCTTTCCTGGCCTGCGACTACAAGTACTCCTTTCTGTCCTGTAACTGTGAGGAGGGGCTTCTCTCCACAATCACTATAAGCTCCACCAAGCCAGTGCTCCTCCTCACCCCAGCATTGCTGCCCAGAACTGTGGCCCAGATCCAAAAACGGGCAAAGCAAGAGATTCCTGCCTCAGCACTGGCAAAGAGATCCCTGCAATCCCTCTCTGATTAGCCACTGGATTCCCCCTCAGTCCGTGGGCCAGAAGCTCGGGAAGCAGCTGCCCCGCCACAGGGCTACGCTCTTGGGGAATGGAGCTGAAACCCCTCCTTCCTTTCTCAGGCACCGACAGAAACAGACTTTTCCCACTGACCTTCTAATTTGTCTTTGGCATTGGTGGATTGAGGAGTCTGGAAACCTCTACAGCTGCCCGAGATTCAGTCCTCTGAGGCCTGCTCCAAGTTTGCTGCACCCTGCGCACCCACACTGCAGCCTGTGCACCCGCCTGCTGCGTCCCAGCCCGGCACGATACACCTTTCTGATCAATCATCCAGGTTGTCTTGGGCTGGAAATTTGTTTCACTCTGTCTTTTTGTGGGTTCTGCTGCTTCAGAATTTGTTTAGAGCCATTTTTTATGAGTATTTGGAGGGGTTTGGAGGACAGCTCAAGCAAGTCACTGCTTCCACTCCACCATCTTGGCTCTGCCTTCGCACTTTTATCTCTAACTCCTCTACTTGCCCACCCCTAAATGTTCCCATTCAAACCAGTCAGACTAGGCAGTCTGCCTTCAGGATATTCTGAACTAGATTTCCTAATGCTAACTCAAATTAAGTCTAGCAAAGAAAGACAGAGATAATGATTTTCCTCATGATTTTCCTTCTGCTGACTTCAGTGTCAGCCTTGATTCAAATCTCTCTCCTCTGCCATATCCAGTTTTCTACTCATTACTGCCTCTCAACTCTATACTTTCAGGCTAAAGAGACATCCCACTACTTTCTCTTTCACGATATCTCCAGCATTTACTCTCCTTTCTAATTGAATAGCCAAAGGTCTTAATTATCACCTGCTTGACCCAAAGAAAATTCCTTCTTCTTGAGTCCTCTCTCACAGTCAATCAGTCCTTCATGGCCCTGCTAAAGCTGTCTTCTCAGCTGATTATTTCAACGAACATGCATTATACCCCTTCTAGGTGCAAAGTACTATGAGCAGTTTATTTAAAAATGATAAGGCCCCCTTTTGGGGAGCACATTGTAATTGTCTTCCCACAGTGACTCTTTATCCTGCTACAAATGAGGTCCAAAATTTTCTATCTCAGCTGCAAAGTCCTTAACCCATTGTTCCAGAGGCTTGCCCAAGAGAGTGATATTCCTTTCCTTAACTTTGATGCCTTCCAACTTATCTTTTGCGCTCACTCCAGATAAAGTCACTCAATGTTTCTCTATTCTAACATCCTACCCCTGTCTCTGTAGTTTCTCTTACATTCATACCTTCCTCTTAGTCTTCACACACACACACACACACACACACACACACACACAGAGAATGGTTGCTGTCTTCTCCCTAACCCTCTAGACCTTGACAAAATATACAACTCTTTAGACCATCTCTTGCCTCACTATTCCACAAAAGTCCTTTTCTTTTGCCTGCATATAGCATTGTACTCTTAAAAATATTGATATTGAATATTTTTTCAGTGTCTTTTCCACACAGGAATCTCAAAATATTAATAGCATGTGATAGGATAAAAGACCTAGATTTGGAGTCATGAATCAATAATATGTCAGAAAAGACCTGGAATCAATCAATCAATCAATCAGCATTAATTAAGTACTTACTGTGCATTATTCTGTGTGTGGGGACACAAATAAAACAGTACCTCCCTCTAAGGAGCCTCTAGTCTATGGGGGGAACAACTTACATACATTTAATTAAATATAAAATACACACGAAGTAAAAGTAGTCAGTGAGGGAGGGTCCTAGTGGCTGAGGAGATGAGGATCGGTCTCCTCTAGGAGGTGGGAGCTTTGAATTGGGGGAGGGGTTCTAAGAGGTGGAAGTAAGGAGGGAGCACATTCTAGGCACAGAGGGCAGGTAGCTTGTGTGAAGGTTGAGGCAAAAGATGTAAGGTCATGTGTGGCATCACTTTGGTCCCTAGAGTGGGAAGCCTGTGCATCTTTACCACCACCCAACGGAACACGGACACAGACACCAACACAGACACAGAAACACACATACACACACACACACACACACACATGCCCACTCCTCAAGAAGGGCTAGTCCTAGGCCTCTTGGGCCTCAACTTCAGGAAGTATCACACTTGCATGAGTTCCTGGGCCCCCAAGTTCCCACAGCCCCAGCTATGGAAAGCCAGTGACTAAAACTCTCAGTGAGGGGAAGAACCACATCCCTGAGTGGCAGGAGTGGCTGAATCCCAGCCTTCTGGAGGAGAGGGGAGAAGTTCCTGAACTGTGAATTGAGAACAACCCTGGAGCAGAAGGAGCAGCAAGGGACTGAGCCACAATGCAGAGCAGCAGAACCAACTTCGCCTTCCATGATTACCACCAGTTATCTGGATAGCGCAGGTTTAGTGGAAAGGGGTTTCCCTCTTTATCCATCCCAAGTTTACTTCCCAGAGAGTCCAGACCTTTAAAATGGCCCATAGAAGACTAGAGGCCTCAGTGTTTCCCTAGGCAGAAAGTAAGACTGACCAGAGAGAAAGAGAATGTCTTCACTGTTACAGATATCTCTGAGTTATGTCACTTTGCATTTTTCTAAGAGATTAAATTAAGGCTGTCTTCTACTTGATATTGTTATCCGAGTGCTTGCATAGGAAGTCCATGCCCTTTACCCACATGAACAGACCTAGTTATATTCCAAGTATCCCAAAGGAAACTCTGGGTGTGGGTAAAATGAGTCAATGAGAAAATAATATATAATAGCATAAATTGCCTAATGACAAGTATACTATAAAACTCCCCTATGTTTCCTATGTGGAGCTAAAACTAAGAGAATGAGAAAATCATCAAAAATATGTGACAGACAATATTGTACAGTGGAAAAAGTATTGGCATGGGAGTCAGAAGACCTAGATTCAAATCCTGACTCTGCTACTTACCAGCATATGACCTTGGACAAGTCATTTAACTTCTCTGGGCCTCAGTTTCCTCATGTTCAAAATGAAAGAATTGAACTAGGTGACCTCAAAGTCCCCTTCAGGTTCTAAAGCTACAATCCTTTATGAGAGATTCTCTGACACAAAGATTACAATTGTACGGCCCTGACCCACAAGTCACTCAAAACTCTCCGAGACTCAATTTCTTCATTGGTCAATGGGTGTAATAATTCTCGTACTACCTAGTATCTCAAAGCGTCACATCAATAAGCATTTATTAATCACCTACTATGTGCCAGGAACAGTGCTAAGTGCTGAGGATACAAAGAAAGGAAAAAAAAACACCCAGTTCCTGCTCTGAAACATCTCACAGTCTGTTAGGGGAGATAACACACGGACAACTACATGTAAACAAGATACATACAGAATACATTGGAGGTGGACTCTAAGGGAAGGCCCTAAGATTAAGGAGGACCAGGAAAGGCTTCTTGCAGACTGTAGGATTTTAGCTGAGACTTGAAGGAAGCCAGGAAAGGTAGGAGAGGGAGGTGAGGAGGGAGAGCATTTTGTGCATGGCGGAACGGAGACAGTCAGGAGATGGAGCGCCTTGTGTGAGAAACAGCATGGAGGCCAGTGTCGGATCTCGAAGTATGTTGGGGGGAGGAAGGTGTAAGAAGACTAGAAAGGCCATGACATGTCACTGAAGCATCAAAGCACTCAAGCTTAAAGTGTTATATGAATGTGAGCTATTTCATTAAGCTCCATAAATATAGGAATAGTACACTTTAACTCATTTTGTACCATTTAGCACAGTATCATCTACACAAAACCCTTAATACATGTTTTTTTGATAATTGTGACTTAAAAACTCTTACCTTTGGCCAGATTAGTTACAGGCTGTGCTGCTGCTGGTCTCTTTCTGTGTATTAGTGTATGACTGAATTCTTCTTGTATTACCTAAAAATAAAACCCATAATGTGTGACTATCTCAGTTTATTAAAACATTGGTCAAAACCCAAAGATCCTGACCAAGAAACTCACCGCAGGAGACAAATATTTGGCAATGAGCTTCTCCAAGAAGGGCTTTTTCAAGACGGAATTAATTGACGGCCGATTTCGAGGAGGTATTTTAAAAAGCTGAGTTACTAGAGTCTGTAGGTCAGAAGAAAACTTTGTAGAGATGGGGTCAAAATGTGCTTGACAAATCTTGAGCACCAGCTGATATAAGTTGGTACCTTCAAACTAAAATGTCAGAGAATAAATGATACTGCGTAAGAAATTTCCCCTAGCTACATAAATATAATATTACTATACCATTCTTTATTAATAACCACATTATTATATAGCTATATGCAATTACTATGTATATATAATTATTAATTACTCTATTATTATCACTATATGATGTGGATATTTCAATGGAGCTGTGACATCAACAATGAAGGTGTCCCCTCTACCAGTATGGATTAGTGCAGAAAGAACCGTAGGTCTTCAAAGGTTATGCCAGGACAGCACAAGTGATTGAAGGTTTTACCAAGACGGAAAGGCTTCAGGAACTATCTAGTGACAGTGCCTAATAATCTGGAGCAGCTAGGTGGCATAGTGGATAGAGTCAGGAAGGCTGAGTTCAAATCCAGGCTCAAGATATTTACTGGCTATGTGACCCTGGCCAGAGTGAAGAGGAATTAAGAAGTCTCTTGATGAGGGTGAAAGAGAAGAGTGTAAAACCGGTTTGAAGCTTAGCATCAGAGATATTAAGCTCTTGGCCACTGGTTCCATCACTTCCTCCACAAATAGAGGGAGAAGAAAATGGAAGCAGTGTCAGATTTTATATTCTTGGGCTCAAAGATCACTGTAGATGATGACTGCCCCCATGAAATTAAAAGATGCTTGCTCCTTGGAAGGAAAGCTATGGCAAATATGGACAGCATACAAAAAAGCAGAGACATCACCTTACTGACAAAGATTCATATAGTCAAAGCTATGGTTTTTCCAGTAACAATGTACAGCTACGAGAGTTGGATTCCAAGGAAAGCTGAGAGCTACAGAATCAACACTTTCAAATTGTGGTGCTAGAGAAGACTTTTGAGAGTCTTTGAGACAGCAAAAAGATTAAACTAATGAATACTTAAAGAAATTAATTCAGGCTATTCATCGAAAGGTCAAATACCGAAGCTGAAGCTTAAATGCTATGGCCACATAATGAGAAAGTGGGGCTCACTGGAAAAGACCCTGGTGTTGGGAAAAGATGGAAGGCAAAAGGAAAGAGGGACAGCAGAGGATGACATGAATAGATAGTGTCATAGAAAGAATAAATATGAGCTTGGACAGACTTCAAGAGATAGTGGAGGACAGAAAAGCCTGGCGTGTTATGGTCCATGGGATCACAAAGAGTCAGACATGACTGAACAACAACAATGACCCTAGGCAAGTCACTTAACCTCCATTTGCTTCAGTTTTTTCTCTTAAAAATGAGGGTAATAATAGCTGTTATCCTCACAGGACTGTTGTGAAGAGCAAATGATGTGACGTACATAAAGTACTTTGCACACCTTAAATCACCATATAAGTGCTAAGAATAATAATTATTATTATCTGTTGAGGACCAGCTTAGCTAACTATAAAGAAAATCAAAAGTTTAACCACTAGGCAATGAATTCTTTGATCATGGAAATCTATGAAACAAATCAAAATCACTATTTTTAATCATTGATATCAGGCTAAATTATTATTGTGGTGCCTTCTGGTAGCACCTACTGTTGGTTCAGTGATCCTGGGAATCTGAAACTGAACCTGTAGAACACAAACTGTGACAGGTCCTCTGAAGATACATGGGCTTCTTACATGGCCACCAGACTGTATGTCTGTCATCTAGAAACTGGTATAATTAAAGTCAGAGGCTCAAGACCAGGTTGGCTACCAAGCAACAGATTTTTTTAAAAAATTTTTTGGCAAAAAAAGGTCAAGAAGGTTGGGGGTTAGATAGTACAGTGGATAGAGTGCTGGACTTGGAATCAGGAAGACTTGAGTTCAAATATGGTCTTAGGCATTTACTAGCTGTATGATCCTGGGCAAAGCAAGGCTCTGCTTGCCTCAATTTCCTCATGTGTAAAATAATAATAATAGTACCTACCTCCCAGGGTCACTGCGAGAATAAAATGAGATCATATTTATAAATACTTTGCCAACCTTAAATCAATATATAAATACTTGCTATCTATATCATCATTATTTTCTTTATACGTTATTATACATTTGTATATTATCAATATAGGTTTATATAGTATCTTATATATTATTAATATATGTTTGTATTATTATACATTTATATATTATTATTATTATCATTATTACTTTGTTCAGTCATTTTTCAGTAGTATCTGACTCTTCATTGCCCCATTTGAGGTTTTCTTGGCAGATAACTGGAGTAGTTTGCCATTTCCTTCTTTAGCTCATTTTACAGATGAGGAACTGAGGCAAACAGGTTTAAGCAACGTATCTAGGGTCACACAGCTTGTGTCTGAGGCCAGATTTAAACTCAGGAAGAAAAGTCTTCCTAATTCCAATGCTCTATCAACTGAGTCACCTAGCTTGCCCCAAATTATTATTACCATTGTCTACTAAAGGCATAGAAAGGCTGGGATCTTCAAATCTGGGGGTATTGACACCAATGAAACCATTAGCGCTTGGAGTATTGAAATACATGTATCAGGAAGTGGAAGAATTTTTTTTGCTTCTGTTAAAAATACTGCCAATAAGCTCAAATTATTACAATCAGCTGATAGAATAATGTCATTAGGAAGCATTAGCTCTATAGAAACATCTCTACCTCTAGGGTCATGATGAAGGCTATATGCTGAAATTCTGTCAGTTCTAACTCCAGTAATTTCGCATTTAAAATAAAAATAATGCCACTGTACAATATACACATTCTCCTATTTTCTCTTACCCCACAGTAATTTCTTAGACCAGGTTTCTTAACTTTTCATGTATATATCATGGACCCCTTTGGCAACCTGGTGAAGTCTATGGACCTCTTCTCAGAATCATGTTTTAAAATAATTGAAGGAAGTGCTAAATTTTAGTTAAAGGTTAAGGAAAATAAAGATGATTTTTCTCCCATCTGAGTTCACAGAGCCCTTGAAGCTTAACCAGAAACTCTTTAGAATCCCTACCTTATGATATAATTTATGTCATGAATTTTTCAGTCAAGCAACAGATTCTATTAAATACATTGTGCAGAACTTCAAATGCATCACATTAGCCTAAGACCTCAAACTTGGCAGTGAGTTAGGGGGATGTCTACCCAATCATGTGAAGGCTTTCCCCAGCAGAATGAGTGGTTGAGAACAATTGGTTCCAGTGGTCATGAAGGCAGCTGAAGCAGGCTTTGTGGAGTGCTTAGAGTTTGGTCAGGCACTGAAAATGCCAAGGTTGGAGGCAGCTAAGTGGCTTAGTGGACAGAGCACCAGCCCTGGATTCAGGAGAACCTGAGTTCAAATCTGGCCTCGGACAGATAACACTTACTAGCTATATGACCCTGGGCAAGTCACTTAACCCCTATTGCCCAACCAAAAAAAAAAAGAAAGAAAGAAAATGCTAAGGTCATCTGCCATTGCCAATCATCTTGACTTTTATCTTACTGCTGGACTTTGATAACTTGGAAAGAGACAGTGAGGCTGACACTTTGTGCAACTGTGCCTCACTTAAATCCAATTCACAGGCCAGTCAGGACATCACTGTAATGTCATTGGTCTTCTTCAAAAATGAAGAACCACCAACAACAGCTTAAGTAATGTACTGGGACTGAGAGGACCCAGGGGGAAGGCATGTCATACCAGCATAAAGTCAGCTGTCCATCATTTCCACTAACAATAGCTATTGCTGCATGGATCACCTAGTCATAGATTTGGAACTGGAAGGGACTTCCAAAGACCATCTAATCTAACATCCTAATTTTACAAATGAAGAAACTGAGGATCAGAGACAGAAAATGATTTGCTCACATTCACACATGTAAATAAGTGGCAGAGTTGGGATTTGAACCCAAGTCTTCTGATTCCAAATTCAGCATTCTGTCCACTACCCACACTGCCTTCAATTGGTATCAGATAGTACACAAAAATAACAGACATTTTTGCCTCATAATGGTAAATGAAAACACTATCCATGTGATGTGAGGTGCTGCTATTGACCTTGCCTGAGTCCAGAGACTCAGAAGCAATCAAAATCAGCTGAAGTATGAATATACTTTAATAGAGGGATATTATAATGCAAGCAAAATCACTAAGTAATGAGCTCATTATAAGGTCCTTTTAAGATATTTTGGATTTGGCAAAGTGGCTTTGATGACTTTAAATAGCTAAAAAGGGCAGGCAAACTCGTTCCCATTTGAAAAGGATTTGTTTATTCCATTTACTTCAAGGCACAATACATATTCCTAATATTCCTCCATTATGGGCAAGGTCAGTGTAGCCATTAGCTAATAGGCATGCCCATCTGCAGGTGGGCAGATTTCTATATAGAAGCCATACAGAATTATAGATCTTTAAACTGGAAAGGAACTTAGATATCCTTTAGTTCAGAGGTGGGGAACCTGCACCCTTGAGCCCACAGGTTCCGCACCCCTGCTAGTGCAACATCTCATTTTATTGATGGGAAAACTGAGGCTTAAGGAGATTTTTTTTTTAACATTTGAAAATGTTCACGTGTGACATTATGGTACTTAATATTTCTAATCAAGTAGTAAAGCTATTCTTGGAAGTGATATATTTGATCCACTGTCTAACTCTTACTTTCTTTTAATATGCACATAAATACATAGCATTATTCTAAATTATTGAGACCGATTAATAAGTTACAAACACACCAAAATCATGAAAATTCAGTCTCATTCCTTTATAGTCAATATTACATATCACCTCTTAAACTGCTACGGAATAGTTGGAATTCTTGCTGCCATCTCTTTAAACTTACATCTGCTGTGCTCATACTTTCCCTTGGGGAGGAGAGAAAACCAACAATTAAGTAGTTTTTTTTAAAGGACCCTTATGGTGGCTGAATTGGAGGTCAGGGAGGGGAAACCTGTGGCTCTAGCTAAAGAAAGAATGTCCAAAGTGCTGCAGGGAATGCAGATTTCACTTTAATCAATCAAACTGGTGATAAAGTCAAGTAGAATTCAAAGGATAATCTGAAAAATTCCGAGCTTGAGTCAGTCATGTGAAAGGCACTATGGCATGGTGGCCACAGAATTGACCTTGGAGTCAGCATGTCTTAGATTCAAGTGTTGCCTCTGGAACCTACTGGCCGTATGACCCTTGGTGAATCACTTGAATTGTGTATTCCAGGTAAATCTCTCTGAGACAATAAATTGAGCTGACCCACATTGGTAGAGGCAGTTCCCCATAACTGTCTGGTTAAAAAAAGTTAATTATGATAATCAAGGAAATATGAATTTAGAAGACACTTTGGATAACACTCTCCCCTCCATGCTTTTGCAGAAACCACCTTCCTATGCCTCTAATATGCACCATCCTCATTTCTACCTTTCAAAATCTTCTTGCTTCAAGGTTCATCTTAGGTACCCCCTCTGTGAAACTTTCCCTGATCTCCTTCCTCACCAGCCCCATCCTCACTTTTTAGCTGGTCTGCTCTCTCCTCAAATTCCTATGTATTATGCTTATCTGTAAATACTGTATCCTTCCAATAAGCTCTTGGAGGATGGGTGTGATTTCATTTTCTTTTTTACACATAGTAAGTACTTATTCAAATTGGTTGAACTGAATTTCCTCTGAACCCTTTCCAGGTTCCCCATGTTTCAAGTGGTGGTAACCATAATGGCATAAGACTTTTAACTGGGGCTACAATAATTATGAGTATAACAGATTACTACCTGGTTCCCACATGTTCTTCTTGTTTTCATCCTGCTCCATCCTCTGCTTTTCCTTCAACAACAAATATATTCTAATTTTGTACAAGAGCTCCCTACCTGGTTCAGATCCTCAACCTATTAACAATAAGACTGAGAAAGTCACCACATACACACACACACACACACACACACACACACACATACACACACACTTCCAGGTTTAGAATGATGCTTGAGCTCTGTCTCACTCATCAGGCATTCTCTTTTCCTGCAGAGATGACTGGGAGCCCAGAACTATTCCAATCAGATATTTCCACCTGTCAGATTTGTCATCACAGTTTCTGCAAAGGATTATATTGTTCTGTGGGGATCAGAACTGAGAATCAGCATGCCTTCATTCTCAGAACTCAAAGCAATGGTACCGCATAGCACTCTCCATATAACTTCAGGACCCATCCTCTCTACATTCCTGAATCTTCCAGAGACCTACATCAGAACCTACCCCCATGACACACAGGCTGATTCACACCCCACTGACATAGAACTAATAACTAATAATTCCACATAATTATGTTAATTAATCACCTCTGCTTCCAGATTTTTTCCATTTCCTGCACACTCAAAATTGGCATTTTAAGGAGCTAAGTGGCTCAATGCATAGAACCCAAGGTCTGGAATCAGAAAGATCTGAGTTCAAATTTCAGATGCTTACCAGCTGTGTGACCCTAGGCAATTCACTTGTCCTCTGTTTCCTTGGCTGTAAAATGGTGATAACAAAAACACCTATCTTCCAGGGATATTAGAAAGATCAAATGAGATGGTTTTAAATAGTATTTAGCATAGCACCTGGCACACAGTAGGTGATATATAAATGCTTATTCCTTCCCACCCCTTGCATAGATCTCAAAATGAAAGGGACCTCAGAGACCATCTAACTCAGCACCCACATTTTGCTGTTGAAGAAACTGGGGCCTGGTGAAGTTAAGTGCTTGGACAAGATTACACAGGTAGAAAACATCAAAGGCAAGATTGTGTCAGAGGACCTGATGCAACAGCCAGACTCTTTCCATTCTGCTCTTCATACACTCTGTCACAAATGCCAGAGGCCAGCTTTGCTTACTGCTCTGGTGTCAGTCATCTTTACTGACGTTATTTTATAACTTGGGCAACTAAGGACATAGCAGCTACCACCACAAAATCTACCACCATGAGCCATCTGGAAAATGGGGATGTTGCACTATCTAACACATAGGAGTGTTGTGAGGAAACCCTAAAACATTATAGAAATGTGCTCACCCATTTATCCCAGTTGGTAAGTTCCTCCTGATGCTTCCATTTTGTGGAAGGTCCTAGGCCAGCCAACTTCATTGTCTTCCCAGGCCTGGCCCCACACTTCAAAACCACCTGGGCCTTTTCTATGGCTGGCTCTTCCTAGAATATCCCTCAGTGCCTGGGACCTCCTTGCTCCAGAACAGCCTGCCATTCTGCAGCCTGTTCACCCTGGAACATCACTCTGCAAGACCCACACCCCCTTCTCCCATTGCTGAGCTCTGTGTGGAGCCTCCATTTTGCAAAAGGGCCCAATCCAGCTTGCCTTCCTCTTCCTTCTTGTCCATTCAGGAAGGACACTTTCTGGACTTCAAAATCATGCTTGTATTTGGATTGCCAATGCTTAGCTCAGTGTCTTGGCATAATAAGCACTTAGTAAATGCTTATGTCCTTCCTTCCTATGCAAATGTGAGTTATTATTATTGTTGTTGTTAAAAAGACTGCAACTCTTTCCTTTCAACAGTTACTATTATTTTTATGTCTTCAGTAGTTTAAGATTAATCTGATACTTACAGGATGCCTTAATGTGCACAGCTCATATAAGACGCAGCCAAGAGACCAGATATCCCTGTGAAAAATAAGATTCAATTTATACACCAAAAACATATACTATTTTTTTCTAAAATGCTTCGACAATGGAAATAATAAAAGTGAAGGACTTCTCTTTGCAAAGCACTTTATAATTTTTCAAGGTATTTTTCACTTACATTACAAGTATATGAAAAATTATTCTTGCTCAAATGTAAACTGAGGCCAATTCTGACATATAAGTGACAGTAGAATTTCTTCTATTAGTTTGCTAGAATGGGAAAAGTATGTAAAATTTGCTACCAATTTGATGGTTCTACACATCTAGAACCATCAGGTTTTGAAGTAACTGGAGGCTTTAATTTTCATTTGAAATTTAACATTTGCATGAATTAAATAGATATGTTCTAATCATATTCTCCAGACTTGATTAGAATTAAGCAGGGTTTGAGAAGATAAGGGATTACTGGGAAAGGCACCTAATTATGTCAATGTGGCTGTATTTCTTTAAATCTTGCTGGAATTGTATAATTATTTTCATAGAGTATTGATCAAATAAATATTAATGCTTTGCTGCATTGATGAGTTTATTTTTATAGAGAGGAAAAAGTTGAGTTCAAAAATTGGCTACTTTCTAATTCAATTTACTATCACTATGGGAAGCCCAGTTGCCCACATCATAAAAGCCATCAAGTCACCACTATCCACTTGGTGACAGTGTATCTTAATTGTAGGTAAATTACTGAAGAAAATCTCTGAAACCTCTATAGAGCTAGCCTTGAAACCTTCAGCTTATATAGTGGCAGCAAACATACCTATTTTTTTCTTTTCAAAATGTCTCTATTCTGAACTTAATATTTTGACCAAAAAAATAAGCATTTCCATATAAAAAGTAAAACATAATAAGGGATTGTATATGAAACTGTGAATTTCTTTTCTATACAGTTTATTTTTTAAAATGTATATAATCAATTTAAGCTGTTACTTTCAAAACTGTCATGCTTGTCTTCTTTCTGAACTATTTTCTGTACTCCTCTGCATACTTTTCATGTTTCAATGGCCCTCCTCTTTTATATTTTCTTTTCTTATGGGATCACCATTGCTATTTTTTTCTATTCCACCAACACCTTCTCCCCAAGTGGAAAGAGGAAAAAAAATTCATGTAACAACTAAATGTGTTCAAGCCAAATAAATTCATACAGTAGCCATATCTAAAAATGTATGTTTCCTTCTGCAGCTGGTGTTCCATCATCTCTCTTTTAGGAAGTGGATAACATGCTTCATCCTAGATCCTATAGAAACCTGACTGGTCATTGCTTTAGTCAGAGTTCTTAAGACTTTCAAAGATTTTTCTTTTTAGGCAGTTGGGGTCAAGTGACTTGCCCAAGGTCACACAGCTAGTAAGTGTCAAGTGTTTTTGGTCTGAGGCCGGATTTGAACTCAGGTACTCCTGACTTCAGGGCTGGTGCTCTATCCACTGTGCCACCTAGCTGCCCCCCCCAAGATATTTTTCTTTACAATGTTATTGTTATTGTATAAACTGCTCTCCTTACTTTGTATAAATGGTTCTACTTACTTCACTATGCATCAGTTTCTATTTCCAAAGATTCTCTGAAATAAATATTTTTGCTGTTTCTTATGGTTCAATAATATTCCATTACATTCATATGCTACAATTTATACATCCATTCATTCTCCCATTGATGCCTTCCATCACCCTATCTTTCATTTTTTCCCTTGTCTTTTTTCCTTCTTCTCATACCCTCTTCAGGATCAAGAACTTTGTTGTGCTTGTAATAACTCCCGGTATTATCCTTCTCTCTGCCTTCCCCCATTTTATTTCTATCTGTTTCCCAGCTTAGTTTAATGCATTTCTACACCAAAGTCTCTCTCTGTTTGTATGCACAACCCTTCTTTGGTGGGTTCAGATAAGTGAGCTTCTAATGTTCACTGGCCCTCCCTTCTGTCATGTTTGTATATGTTCCTTCTCACATGTTAAATTATGAGAAATAGCAAGCTGTACCCACTTCTTCCTTTCTGTATTAATGTATTCATTTTCTCTTCTCTTTTCTTTCTCCTCTTAAAATCCTCAGAACAGAATCAATACATGCCCAGGTGCTCTGTTTTTCTTACTTAAGTCCTTCAATTTTGAAGACATTAAGGATCTGAATGAATACTTGTTGGTTTTCTCCCTATTAAAATTTTAACCCTTCAACATCATATAGCTATTTACAATTGCTCCAACAAATTTCTCTCTTTCTAGCTCTCTTTTAACTCTCATATTGGCATTTCTAAGGTCCTACTGAGCTGTGGCCTTTTCAACAGGAATTATTGAAAGTCTTCTGTACTGGGGCAGCTAGATGGTGCAGTGGATAGAGCACTGGCCTGGAGTCAGGAGGACCAGAGTTCAAATCTGGCCTCAGACACATAATATTTACTAGCTGTGTGACCCTGGACAAGTTACTTAACCCCATTGCCTAACCAAAAAAAAAAAAAGCCCTCTATTCCATTAAACATCTGGTTTCCCCCCATAGGTTGATATTCACTTCCAACTTTTTTTTTTATGCCTTTTGGAATATTGTATTCTAAGGGTCTCCTTTCATTTATAGTAGGAGCTGCCAGGTCTTACATAATCATGACTGTGATTCCTTGGTATTTGGACACTTCTTTCTGGATGCTTATGGTATTTTTTTTCCTGTAAGGTGGAAAGTCTGGATTTTGGCTATGACATTCCTAGGACTTTTACTTTTAAGGTTCCCTATAGAAGGTAATTTTCAGGTAATTCTTTACATTTTTTTCTGCCCTCTGGTTCTAATACATCTAGAAAGTTTTAATTTATAATTTCTGAAATTTAAATTACAGTTTCCAGATAGTTCAATTTAAATTATATCTCCATGACTTGTTTTCCTGGTTAGTTATTTTAATAGCAGATATCTTACATTTTCTTCTATTTTCAATCTTTTAATTTTGTTCTAAAATTTTGTGCTTTGTTATGGAGCCATTGATTTCCATTTAGGCTATTCTAATTTCCAAGGAACCCATTATTTGGATAAGATTTACCACTTTCTGTTCTAAGCTATTTATTCTCTTTCCAATTCTTCCAGAACTTTTATCTTTTGCTTCATTTCTTCTAGGTATTTACATAGTCCTTGTGGAAAACCCATTTTTTTCCTTTGAGTCTCTGCCTACAGTTGATACAGAGTTATTTTCTTAGGTTGGATTTTGGGGCATCTCTAGATCTATTATAATTCTTTACAGTGCTCCATATCTTCTTCTACTTTGCTCATTTCCCTAACCTTAGCTCCAAATTGAGCCTTTGTGCCAAAACCAGGCTCCACCTCATACTGTACTTTTGGGAAGAGTGGTTGACCCTGCTTATTCTCAACTTTGGCTACCTGGGTCTTGCATTGACCTGCGCCTCCTAGGATTAGGTTCCCTGTATCTTTAAGGTTCATAGTGCTGGATTTTCATCTCAGAATGAAGTTCTAGGGGCTGTCTACTATATTAACAACTGTTCACTGAAACTACTGCTTACCATTTTTCAACTTGCATTAGCTTTCTCTAGATTTTTATAGCAATATAAGTGATGGCTATAAAGGATATCTTTGCAACTTGTTTGGCAGGAAGAAGGAGGCCTGACTTATAAATAGCTACCTTCAAAGCTGAAGTCCTATAATAAATTTGTTTCTGGCTTTTAAAGGTGGCATTTATGAGAGGGGATGCTTAAAAAGGATGAAGCAATTTGTGACTTCATCCAGGAAATAATTACCACTTCAATTTTTAAATAATTATATTAGAGCCAGTCGGAGTCAAGCTAGGAGAAAAATGGCCCTGAATGAAATATTTTAAAATGGGCTCTTCTCCTACATAGAGACCCTATAAATTTCATAACAAGCAATCTCAGGTTGTAGAAAGTGATCCTCTGAGAATATCTAACTCTGTCTGACAAGTGCTTTACAGAATGATATTATTTTCAAGAAAAAATGGAATATTAAGGTTCTTTTCTTCTACTCTATGAATATCTTTTTATTTACATTGTTTGACCCGTTAGAATGTAAGCTCCTTGAAGGTAGGTACTCTTTTTGTGTTTTTTACTTTCCATGTATCCCCAGGGCTTAGCACAAATGCCTGGAACATAGTAGGCACTCAATGAATGCTTGTGGTTTTGACTTGATTTCACTAAGCATAATGTCATATCTTGGAGTTGGGGTTCTTAACCTTTCTTTTATCCATTATGGACCTCTTTGGTAGTCTGGTGAAGTCTATGGACTCTTCTCAGAATAATGTTGGTTGCCTACATTCATCATGGAAGGAAAGATTATATATCAACTAGAGGATGGTGAAAATAATGTAATTTTTTTCCTATCCAAGTTCATAAACCCCAAAGTCTATCCATGAGCCCTTTGGGAGTCCATGGGCCCCATCTCTGTGTTAAAAAATCATCATGAAAGATATTTACTTATGAAATACAATGGACATATAGTCAAGAAAGATACTTTCATTTTCTTTCATTTTCTAAATTAAATATATAGTACTTTGTTATAGCAAAGAGAATCTGTCTTCCAACTTATAATGTATACTTTAATTATAGTGTCTTTAAAATGTTAATACTTTATTTTTAAATGTCATATGACCTCAGAATTAGGTAACAGTTTGCACAATGAAATTGATCTATATTCTTGTAATCTAATAGCTATGTTACTAGTTTCAGTGCAGGTCTTCATTATAATTCCTATAAGTTCATGTAGAGAAATGGAAGGTTGACAATTTCAAACACAGTGACATCATAATACTGACAAGTAATTCAATCAACCTGATCAAAAAAAGATAAATTGAATGTTTGGTGGTCAGAATAACCAAAAATTCAATACCTCAGTCATAGCAAAGTGAGAGGAAAATACACATAAAGAGTAAAATAGAATGGAAACATATAATTTTTTGCAACTTCCTCTCTTGTTATGCCCAGCACTCTTCTAGCCAAGACTGCAGCCTTTCTCCCTTATTCTCCATATTCCATCATTCCTCTATCTTCTCTTTTCTTCTTTCTTTTCTTTCTCTCTTCTTTACTTTCATCTTCCTCATTCTTTCCCCCTCATCTTCTTTTCTTCCAACTACTCTCTTCTTCCTTATTCTTTCCCTCTTCATCGGATTGAAGGCAAGGCAGAACCTAACAAGGGCCCAGAATGGAGCAGTTTCTGTGCTCAGGACATGAAAAGCCAAGATAAAAATCTGTTCCAAACCACCATGACCACTTAGTCTTCACTTGGCTTTAGTAATGCTTTCCTTACTCTGTGGTCTTCAGTTAAGGCTATATTATAATATATAATATTTTGTTTGAAAAAAAGAGTTTATACTATACAATCATCATCAAATAATATTAATTACCAAGATTCACATGCAGGGTTCTGTCATAGACACAGCTCATCATTAATTTATTTATTAAACAGTATATTTCTCCATGGGTAAGGGGCTCTATAAGGGTCAGGTATTATTCTTTTTCTGTTTCCTCAGTGATTTGATGGCACTATTAGGTTTTTAGGGGATAGGCTGAAAAGCTTTAAATTCATATAATTTAGAAGATGCTCAATTTCCACATGCGCTGGCATCTCTAGGAAGAGATTAATTTCATAAAGCATAATGTCATATCTTAGAGGATCATTATGAAAAATATTTATTCATGAAATAGAATGGAAACATAGCTAAATTAAATGTAGAACACTTTAAGTGTTACAGCAAAGGGTTACAATCCTTCAGACTTACAAATGTATGCTATTTAGTTATAGTGATAAGCTAATTACAAAGATAGCATTAACTATTCTGGTACTTATAACAGTAAAGAAGTCTCTACACAATTAGTTCCCAACCCCACCGCTCACTGTAATAACTCAATCTCAATCTAACATGGCAACAGTAGAAATATGAGTAGCAAGCAATGGTAGTCATTCACAGTGTATGAAAGGAATGATTGTGAAATGACAGGTCTAACCCCAAGCCGGAGTGGCTAATGTGGCCTTTGTTGAAATGTAAGTGTGGGTCCCTCAGTAATTTCAAACTATGTGGAAAACAGCATGATAGAAAGAACACTGACTGACTCTAGAGTTAAAGACACTGTGTTTGAATCCCACCCATGATCCTTATGTGAAATAATTTTTATGTGAAAAAATTTAAGAATCACTGGGCTACCCAAAAGCCACAACCAAGAAAAAGATCTGAGACAACATATTTCAAGAAATTATTTTAAAAAACAAAGCAACAACTACCCACAGCACCTTAGGAGTTAGCCCACTTTTGATAGAGGTGGAAGGAACTTTAGATGCCATAAAGTCCAACCCCAACATTTTACGGTTGAGGAAACTGAGGCAGAGGTTTACATTTCAGGACCAAAATCCTCCAAGTTTCAACACTCCATCATAGAATAGCAGAATCTGCAGAGTCAACAGTGATGGTAAAATGACTTGCCTACATTCACACAGATAGTAAATGCCTAAGGCAGGAATTGAGCTGCCAGGTTTTCCTGAGTCCAAATCCACTCTAGTCCAGCCAATTTTAGTTTTCAGTTTTCCCAAGTGTAGAGGAATACTGAGATTATTCAAAAGTATGGACTGGGATACAATGTTCTCTTTAGTCCTAAGGTAACAGTAAGGCAGTATGGCAGTAGGGCTATCTATATAGTCAAAGCAAATCATAATTGTTCTAGAAGATAATGCCCAGGGTCACACCGCTAGTAAGTGTGAAGTGTTTGGTCTGAGGCAGGATTTGAACTCAGGTCCTCCTGACTTCAGGGCCAGTGCTTCATCCACTGTGCCTAGCTATCCCCCTACAAATATATATTAATAAAATAGAAAAAAAAAAGAGGATTCATGAGCTGAATTTTTTTTAAATTAGAAAAATTTAAAAATTTTTTTAAATTAGAAATTTTTTAAAATTAGAAAACCAACAAATAAACAAGCCTAAAATTACACAAAAGAGGCTATATTAAAATTAGAAGAGATATAAATAAATTGAGAACAAAAAAACAGAAATCATAAAGAAAAAGTATAGTTGATTCTTTGGAAAGACTAACAAAATTGATAAAAACATTAGTTACTCTGATTAAAAAGAAGGGAGAAAATCAAATTAATAAAATAGCAAATGATCAAGGTCACAAGGTCACAAGATCACAACAAAACCAGAAAACAATATGTGTGCATATATTATGAACAATTATGTGCTAATAAAACTGAGAGCACAAAAGAAATGGAGAAATATCTTCAGATTATAAAATACTCAAACTATCAGAAGACCAGATAGAAATCTTAAATAACCGATCTCAGAAAAAGAAATAGATCTAACTATAGAGGAACTACCATAAGCATGTTTTCAGACTTTTTCAGTATAGTGATCAGTTGTACTGATTTTTTTCCTTTTCTTTTTCTTTCTTTCTTTCCTTCTTTCTTCCCTCCTTTCTTTCATTTTTCATTCTCTTTCTCTCTCTCCCCCCTTCTTCCTTCCTCTCCCACCTCTCTTTCTTTTTCTTCCTTTCTTTTCTTCCCTTGAGGCCACACGTGGCCTTCTAGATCCTTAAGGGCAGCCTTTTGACCAAATCCAAATTTTCAATCAAAAAGCCACACTTAAGGATCTAGAAGGCCACATGTGGCCTCAAGGCTGCAGGTTCCCTAACCCTGATTAACCTATTCATAGTTGCACCTACACTGTAGGAATAGGGCACTATAAGTCCAGCTATAGAAAGCAAGAGTCAACAGAGTGAGAGAAATGATAATTTCTCTCATATTAATAGCCAATTATTAAAACTGTGAAGACCCAAGCTTTTTCCCCTGTCCTATTTCTTTGTCCAATCTCTCAAGGACAGGGCTGATGGAAAACTGGATTAACACTCTCCTCATTCTGAGTATTGCTTCTCCACCAAACTAGCTCAGGCTTGGGGTGAGAGATATAGATTCTTCGTCTAGATTGCCCAAGACTGAGGGTGGTCTGGATATAGGGATAGTCTGTGTCCAAGAGTGACACGATGTCACTCTCAGACCCTCATTAGAGTAACCTCACTTGTCTTTGCAAAGTCTACCCCTCATTAAACTGTTAACCAATCAGAGTTGGTCGCCACCTTCAGGAACCCTCCTTTTCCAAAAGGGCATATAAGCCGGGAGCCCCTCCCCTGCCATGATTGTCTTTGCTCTATGAGAGAGCACACCGAATGGTCATCCTTTTATTAAAATTCTGGCATTATTAATAAAGTTATCAAATTACCCAGAAATTATGTCTCTCGAACCTTTTTACACATCACAAGAAGACCTCTACGTCCTCCCAGAAGGGACTTCCCTATAGCAGGGGACCATCACAAAATAAGTACTATCACCCTAGAACAGGCAATGACTTGATGGGGGGCGGGGGGGGGAATTACCCTAAGCAAGTCATTTAGCACTTTGCATGCCTTGGTTTCCTTATTTTTAAAATGGTGATAATAATAGCATCTACCTCCCGAGGGTGTTATGAGAATCAAATAAAATTTGTAAATTGCTTTGCAGACCTCAAAACTCTATCTAAATGCTAGTTGTTATTATTATTATTATTAAATAGGTGGTATGTGCAATGTGTACAATGACAAGGTCGCTGCCCTGTGTGTGGGTTACTCAGACACAGAGCTGCAATATTTCTACTCTGTCTACTGACTTCCTTGGCTTCCTTGAAGTTCCAACTAAAATCCCTCTTTACTGGAAGCCTTCCCCAACCCCTCTTAATTCTAATGCTTTCCCCCTGTTAATTACTTCCTGTTTTATCTTGTATATAGCTTGCTTTGTACATATTTGTTTGCATGTTGTCTCTCCCCATTAGATTATAAACTCCTTGATAGCAGGGACTGAATTTCACTTCTTCATGTATCCCCAGAGTTTAGTACAATGCCTGGTGACGTGGTAGACACTTAATAAATGTTTATTGATTAATTGATCAGAAGCATTAACAGACTCTTTAGCAAGTAACTGCTGGGCAGTCTATTCACAAGTATCAATCCCAGAGGCCAAGTTTTACATCCCCTGACCAAAATTCCCAAAGTTACTATATGGCATCATATAATAGCAAGATCTGTAATGTCTATGATGACACCTTTTCTCCAAAAGGACTCAATCCTTTCATGTATCTTTACAAAGGCGACGTCTTACACAGACATTAAGGTATAAAGCTATAATCAACAGCATGGCCGGGATGACACACAGTTCCTGGAATTCCTATAGAGTTCTCTAAATTAGATTTGACAGCTAATTTCAAATGAGTCAGTCGATAGCAAGAACTCACGTTTTGTTGTTGTAGGGCTTATTCTGACAGATCTCTGGAGACAGATAGTAAGGTGTCCCAACACACGTCCGAGCAAGTTCCATTGTACTAAAAATATTTTGAATAAGATAATACAGTAGTTTATTCTCACAAAGACAAGAAAAGTAGATTCTATTCTGAAGTCATTATATTACAAAAAAAAATTCGTTAGAACAGGAAATAAAACTACTTTGAAAATAACAAAAGGAAGGAAAACAATTTTTTAAATTTTTTTTTTGGCTAGGCAATGGGGTTAAGTGCCTTTGCCCAGGGTCACACAGCTAGTAAGTGTTATGTGTATGATGCCAGATTTGAGCTCAGGTCCTCCTGAATACAGGGCCGGCGCTCTATCCACTGCTCAACCTAGCTGCCCCAAAACAATTCTTGACTATCATTTTCTCTCTAACTTTCAAGGCTGAAGGCAGCTAGGTGAAACATTGGATAGAGCTCAGGACTTGGAGTCAGAAAGACTGAGTTTAAATTCTGCCTGAGACTCTTACTTGTGTGTTTGAGTACATCACATAACTTTTCTGTGCCTCAGTTTCCTCATATGTAAAATGGGGATAATAACAGCATCTCCTGGGGTTGTTAGGATAAAATGAGTTAACAGTGTAAAGTGCTTTGCAAACTTTAAAGTGCTACATAAAGGCTAGCTTTATTGTCAGACCATAGGACTGAACACTTAGAGTTGAAAAGGAACTTTGAAATGACAAATTTACTGATGACTGGAGAAGTTAGCGAATCACTCAAGGCCACACAGAAAATAAGTGGCCAAGATGGGACTTAAACCCATATCCTCTGCCTTCAAATTCACCACTATTTCCATGCACCACATTGTACCTCCTACCTCTCCCCAGGTTCCTCATAGCCAAAGGACTATAGTTGCTTTTGGAAGAATCAAGTAAATACATAGTTATAGGTTTAGAATAGAAGAAACGATGGTTATGTACCTGCCTGATTCCTCAAAGACCATGTATTTACCTCCAGATTATCATTCAACCCACCACCTCATAGTGCTAAGCACCATGCAGATGCAATAAATATTAATTAGATTAAATTAAATTGAATTTTAACCATCTACAAAAAGTCAGAGAAACTCAGTTGGAAGAGACCTCGGAGGCACGGCCAAAATTAGGAAATTTTTGCACCTGGATCAAGCCCCACAAACCCTGTTCAGGGCAAGTGGCACAAGAGGCAACCCAGGGGAGGCTGGGGAATGGATATTACCCCATGGAAGGAGATACCACAGAGCTTTTGCTGGGGGCTGCCTACTCCAATTTACCATCAACCAAAAGAAGGAGACCATTATGCGACTTGCTATATAAACCTCCCTTAGCACTTAGTCATCAAGAATAATTAGCTATTTCTTTCAAGAAGGCTAATAAGGGAGTGAGGGAAGAAGTGAGTAGTAATTTTTTTTTGGTTAGGCAAGGGGGTTAAGTGACTTGCCCAGGGTCACACAGCTAATAAGTGTCAAGTCTCTGAGGCCAGATTTGAACTCAGGTCCCCCTGACTCCAGGGCCTCTTTCCACTGCACCACCCAACCACCCCTCGAGTAGTAATCTTTACAGAAAACAGATGCTTTGGGGGAGGGGACTGGGCTCCTTGAATTTAAAAAAAATATTTTAACAATTGCATTTTTCAGTAGAAGTATTTCCTTTCATAATCTTATATATTTTATTTTGTGCACTAAAACATTATTTGAAGAGTCCATAGGTTTAATTAGACTGCCAAAGGGGCCTGTGACACGATGAAAAGTTAAGAAATCCTGATTTAGTACAACTTGAGGCCCCAGAGAAGAGAAGGGTAGTTACTTACTCAAAATCACAGAAATCTCATTCAACTCTTATTGAAACTGAGGTTGTGTTCTCCAATTAATATATATTCTAAGGATATGAACAGGAACTTCTCAAGGGAAGAAACCCAATATATCTAGTCATATGAAAAGATGCTTCAAATAACTAATAATTAGAGAAATGCAAATTAAAGCAATTCTGAGAGTCCACCTATCAGATTGACAAAGCTGGGGGGGAAAAGAAAAGAAAATGACAAATTTTGGAAAAACAGGTACATCCATGTAGAGCTATGAATTGGTCTAGCCATCCTGGAAAGCACTGGGAATTATGCCTCAAAAGTTATTAAACTGTATGTGCCCATTGATCCAGCAAAACCATTATTAGGCCTATACCCCAAAAAGATCAAAGAAAGAGGGAAAAGATCTATGTGCAAAAACAGAAACAAAAAAAAACCTTTATAGCAGTTCTTTGTGTAATGACAAAGAACCGGAAAGCTAAGGGAGTATCCATCAATTAAGGAATGGCTTGACAAATTATAGTGTATGAAGGCAAGAGAATACTATTGTGTTATGAGAAATGAAGAAATGATTTGAGAGACACCTTGGAATCTTATATGAACTGGTGCAGAGTGAAATAAACAGAACCAGGAGAACAATTTATATTATTAAATCAATATTGTAAAAATGAACAATGGGAAAGAAAGAACTAATCAATGAAATGATCAACAATGACTCCACAGGACTGATGAAACAGAACATTTTGTGACAAAGAGATGATGGACTAATGTAGATGGAGAAATGTATTTTTGGATGTGGTCAATGTGGGAATTTCTTTTGCTTCACTATGCTTATATGATAAAAGGGTTCTTTTTTTCTTGTTTTGTTTCTTTTCTTTCTTTCCTCCTCCTTTTCTTTCCTTCCTTTCTTCCTTTCTTTTTTTTCTTCCTTTCTTTCTTTTTTCTTTCCTTTCCTTTCTTCCTTCCCTTCCAATGTATCTGTTTGGTGTAACTCAATGTACCAATTGCCATCTTAGAGTCTATATCTAAATATTTACCTAGAAATATTAGACAATGGTACCTTTCATTCTTAAACACATATATTTTGACAATTTTGAGCAGGAAAGAATTGTATTTAAAAGTTACTTACTTGTTCAATACTCTTGCTATGCCAAAGTCCCCAAGCTTTGCAACCATCTCATTATTGCTAAGAAAAATGTTCTATAAACAAAGAAAAAGGTATGTGAGTTACAGCAAGAAAAAGATTCCATTTTTACTGGTGACCTTCCCTGGGTTATTTACCTGTGTTTTGATGTCTCTGTGTAAGATCTTCCTATCATGAATATGTTTCAATCCCAGAGAGATCTGCACAAACCAACCCAGAATCTACAATGAAAGAGAAGGTATTCTGTCAATGACACTTGCAATTTCAGTGAAATGTCTCAGTGACAAGATGCAAAAACAAAGTAAATTACATGGATATCTTCTGTAAATATCATATACATTTATATAAGTCATCACTTTCATCTTTAATTCTATTCATTTTCTAACAAGGGCCACATAGCTTTGCCAGAGAAGTTCTTCATCATCATCATCATCATCATCTATATAGCACTATATACTGGACACTGTATTAAGTGCTTTACAATTATTATCTCATTTGATCCTCACAACAACCCTTTATTACCCTCACTTTACAGATGAGGAAACTGAGGCAGAAAGAGGTCAAGGGACTTGCCCAGGGTCCTATAGCTAGTGTCTGAGGATAGGTTTGAACTCAGGTCTTTTTGACTCCAGGTCCAGCTCTCTGTCCACTGTGCCCTTTAAGTCAATGTGAATTCAATATAATTAAAAGATAAATGGTTAGAAGCAAAGAAGTGCCTGAGGCTGTTCCTAATTTTGTGCTTCTTACTGAACATTTGAATGCTAATAACGTGCTGGGCACCATATTTAATTTTCTTTTTCCTGATAACTGTCTTCCTTCTCAGTTGCGTTTCCTTTTGGAGTAAGAGAAAATATGGAAAACAAGAATAGAAGTTTTTAGAATCTGGTTTTATCTTACTTTTAACACCTCATTTTGTTGGGGTTTTTTGTCAATTTCTTTCCATAAAATCCAGGGTCCTTTTCAGTATGCACTCCATGTCTACAGAGATGACACTGAAATTTTACTAATTCACAAGCATTTGTTTATTACTTTGTCATATTAAATACAGAAAAAGAGGGAAATACATGCAGGTATGCTCCAGAGATGAAATGTTAAATTGTAATTCTGAAGGCTCTTTTATCAAGATGAAATGTAGCCCAAACTTTAACAGCAAAGGGCAGTTACATAAATATAGGAGAAATAGCACACAGAGGAGGAGAAGAGGAGACATGTTTTCCATAAATCCAGAAATAATATGCTCCTGCAAGAGCACAGGAAGAATACTTGAATAAATTCACAACAGCATGAGATGTATGGATTGCTTATTCATATTTGAAATATTTAACAACAAAACTAGAGGCAATGTATGAGATCATGATGGCCTTAAATAGCAAAATGTAACAAAAAGACCTCAGGAAAGATGAAGATAACATTATTGTGGAGTGCTTTAATCCAGAACATTAAGCATCCATCATCCTGACCCTGATTCCTATGCTTCTCCACAGAGGCCCATATCTCTTCCATGACCAGAGCTCTCCAAAGGACTTCAACAAAAGCTCTGTATGTATTAAAAATATGTGGTTGCAAAGAGTGGGGATGAGAAAAGAGGCCATTATTTTCTCTCTCTCTCTCTCTCTCTCTCTCTCTCTCTCTCTCTCTCTCTTCTCTTAATGAACAGGGAAACTAAAATGACATTTTCTAAGAAGAGAGTTTTTCCCCCTCACTAAGCAAAACTGTATAGCTATTATTTTCCCATAGGAAAAGTCAAGAGGTTAATATGTTACATTTATAATGTTTTGTTTTTAAATGCTTCCAGATTTGGGTTTTTAAAGGGAAGTAAATATTTATCTTAATAGCATATACAGACTTGGGCAGGGGAAGGGGAGGATGGATGCTGTGAGAATGTTCACACTCCTTTACTCAAGATGACTCCATTTTCAATGGGAGAGTCACAATGGCCAGAACTATGAATGTATTCTCAGTCAAACTGTACTTGTCCAGAACACTGACTAATTCATTGCATTCTAGTTTGAGGAGTCACCCACAAATGACATGCACAATAATCCAGTTTGGGGATAATAAAAGCAAATTTCTTTTTTCCTTTCTTTCTTTCTCAGATACTACCTGTTGGTAACATGCCTGCTACAATACTAATTAGAATCCTTTACCTGGTCCTCATCAAAGAGCACTCCATGTTGCCTACTGATCCTCTTCATAAGATCTCCTCCGTCACAATATTCCATCACAATGTATAATTTATTCATCTCTATAAGAAAAAAGGGGCATTATTTTATTTACTGGAATGACTTTCCTATAGGTATTAATTTTTAAAGGTAAGGTATTCTAAAGTATAATTAAAATATCCTCCCACATAATGGGTTAGAAATCTACCTCCCAAAATAATTTATTAAAAATACCTAAGATAAGATGTAGTTCCCATTTTTAAGATGAATAAACATCATCTGTTAATACTTTAAGAAAAGTAAAAAAAAAGAAAAAAGAAAAAAGAAGGGGACAACTAGGTGGTGCAGTGGAAAGAGCACTGGCCCTGAAGTCAGAAGGACCTGAGTTCAAATTTGGCCTCAGACCAAACACTTGACACTTACTAGCTGTGTGACCCTAGGCAAGTCACTTAACCCCTATTGCCTGAAAAAAAAAAAAGCAAATTAGTGTATGTATGTACTCCCTATACTGGTATAGCTCAGAATCACTCTTTGCCTTATTAGGAGGTTTAATGAGTGGTTTTGGCTAAAAATCTCTGACACCTTTGAATCAACCTTGTAGTGCTGAGCTTCTATGAACTTGGCTAAGCTGGTCCTTAAATCTAATAGGCATACAGTCCATCACTGAGCTCATATTCAAAACCTTTCTGCATTGGTGAGAATTGTCAGAGCATGAGGTTGCTGTGAGAACCTTCCAGAAATCAGGTCACCTCTATATCATTATGAGGTATTTCAGTAATACTGTAGTAGAGGGTCTATAATTATACTCATGACTCCCTCTTATCACTTTTCCCCGCATTTTCAAAAAAAGTGATGCTCCTATCATTGAAGAAAGGTTGAGATTACAGGGCAAGTCCTCTATAGGAGGCTTATTATTTCTTCCCAGCTACTGTGTTTCCATCACGATAGCTCCCACCAGGTGAACAGCCTGATTTTAGTAGCATAGGCATAAATAACAGCTGGGCTTACTTCGGGAATGGATAAGTGAGAGAAATTGATATTTAGTATGTGCATCAGATTTGCAGACAATGTGAAAGCTGGGAGGGATAGCTAATACATCAAGTAAAGAATAGGAATCTAAAAAGATCTCAATAGTCTAGAATAATGAGCCAAATCTAATAAAATCAAATTTTAAAAGGGATTTATATAAATTCCTGTGCTTAGGTCCCCTCTCCCCCCAAAAAAGTTATTGCACAAGCATTAAATTGGAGAGATATGGAGAAATTTCGGTGCTTGCGCTCTCTCTCTCTCTCTCTCTCTCTCTCTCTCTCTCTCCTCTCTCTCTCCCTCTTTTCTTTTTCTTCTCTCTGTCTCTCTCTGTCTCTCTCTGCCTCTCTCTGTCTGTTTCTCAGAAAAACAAATGTTCTTTAAGTACCTTGTTTATTCAGAGTCCTGTGCTAGGTGCTAGGTGCAAGGGGAGATACAAAGTTTAGATGATACAGTTCCCACTTTCAAAGAACTTGTAATTTGGTAGAAGAATTTAGAATATAATTGAATGTGACAGCAACACGGATAGCTATAATATACAATATTAAATTATGAGAAGCAGTGTGGTATCATATACAGCGAGTCTGCTTTGAAACCCAGGAAGATCTGGATTCAAGACTACCCTTGGACATGTACTGGCTGTGTGAACCTGAGCAACTCAGAAGGTGCTGACCTGCACTGATGGAAAGTGAGTTTCTTCATCCATAAGTTCCCTATACTATTGAAATCACAAGTCCAGTCCCTAATCCTATTAAAGAGAATTTTTAAAAAGTTTCTATGAGGTCTGAGGGGTGTGTCATTACCAGCTTGAGGAAACAGGGTAGCTGTGATGTTTAACTTGGGCTTGAAAAGATGGATTGGAAAATTTCAGAAGGAAAGCATTAGTAATAGTGAAGACTAGGAAAGGCCTCTTACAAAAGGTAGAAGTTGAGCTGAATCTTAAAGGAAGCCACGAGGCAGAGACAAGGAGGGAAAACATCCCACACATGGAGAACAGTGAATGGAAAGGTACAAGGAGATGCAATGTGTGACGAACAATAAGACAGAGTCACTGGATTATAGAGTATGGGTCAAGTTAAATATGGTAGTGTGATTTAATCATACAGGTACTTCTACACTCAGGGGACAGCTAGGTGGTACAGAGTATAGAGAGTCAGGCCTGGAGTTGGAAAGACTCATTTTCCTGAGTTCAAATCTGGCCTCAGACACTTACTAGCTGGGTGTCCCTGGGCAAGTCACTTGACCTTGTTTGCCTCAGTTTCCTCACCTGTAAAATGGGCTGGAGAAATAAATAGCAAACCACTCCAGTATCTTTGCAAAGAAAACCCCAAATGGGGCCATGAAGAGTCTGACACCGACTGAAAAGCAACACAACAATACCACCTCTGCATTGTCAGGACTAGAATTAGCAGTTAATTTTCACAAGATCTCAAAGGGAAGGGAAATAAGGATTTATACAGCATTCACTATGTGTCAGGCACTGTGCTAAGAGGTTTTTTTTAATTGTTTTTTCTTTCCCAAATGCTATCTCATTTGATCCTCATGACAACTCTGCAACGTGGACGCCATTATCTTCCCCATTTTGTGGTTGAGGAAACTGGGACAAATAGAAGCTAAGTGACTTGCCCTGGGTCACACCGGTGGTAAGTGTCTGAAGTCATATTTGAACTCATCTTCCTGACTCCAGGTCCAGCATTCCATCCACTGTGACATCTAGCTAATAATAATAATGGATAACATTTATATGGATTTTAAGGTTTGCAAAGCTCTTTACATATATTATTTCCTGTGATCCTTATAACAACCTTATGAGGTAGATGCTTTCATCACCCCAATTTTACAGCTGAAAAAAACTGAGATTGAATAGGTAAGTAACTTGCAGGAAGTCATAGAGCTAGTAAGTTGTAGGAGGTAGGATTCAAATCCATGTCTGGCAATTCCAAGTCCAACTATCCATTACTATGTACTCTGCCTCAAAATGGGCAGAAAGTGCTATAGAAGTTCAGAAGAGATAATGTTTTAGGCCAGGATGGAAAAGGTAGCATTTAAATTGGGTCTTAAAAGATTAGGAGGCAAAAAGGAGGGTAGAGGCATTATAAAGGCATGGAGACAAGAAATTCCAGGAAATTTGGATGTCTAGAGGGCAGAGTTCCTGTAGAAAGGTAGAAGGACAGTCAAGGAAAATGATAGGTTTGAGGCCAAATGGTGGAGGGCTTTGAATACTAAGCTAACAAGCTTGGACTTTATGCTCTAGTCCAGGGCTTCTTAACTTTTTTGTGGCATGGCCCTCTTAGGGAGTTTGGTGACTCCTTTATCAGAATAATATCTTTAATGCATATAATAAAATACATAGGATTACAAAGGAATTGTCATTACAAAGGAATTTTCAATTATATTGAAAAATAAATATCAAAATATTTTTTTAAAAAATCAAGTTCATGAATCCCAAGTTGAGAACCCTACTTAGGCCAAGGGTCCCCAACATTTTGCCAAAGAAGAGTTACTTTTAAGTTATCCAAATTTTCATGATCTGCCAATACAGGTGTATGAGTGGGGGTGAGCAATATAGATGAAAGTGTGAGGCTGATCAGAAAATTAATCATGTTGCCTCCATATTAAAAAGTGTTTAATATAAATAAAAGTTTGCATTAATCAGAGGCTCAGCATTGTACATCATCCAACAGATTGTTCAAATTTAGCATGTATTTGGTGAGAACAAATTTCAAGCAGAAGGAACAGCAGGAGGAGGAAGAGAAAGAATGAAATAGAAATAAATATAGCCTAAAGGAAAATGGTAGAGGAGAAGAAGCAAAAGGAGAAATAATAGCCAACTGCTTCTCTAGTTCTCTGCCATCTCATTGTACAGACAGGAAAAATGAGGCTGAAAAAAGGTTAGATAACTTGCCCAGGTAGTAAATAAGTGGTCAAGTTCATATTCAGACCCATATTTCTGACTCTAAATCCAGTTCACTAACCACCATATGAGTGAATAAATGAGGTGGGAGCACTGTTCCCACTCTTTGATCCAAAAAAGCCTAGGAGGGTGGGCTGGGGAAACCACTTCTTCCTCTCCCATTTCCCCCCTTTCTACTTCCCTTTTGGGGCAGCTAGGTGCCGCCGTGGATAGAGTGCTGGTCCTAGAGTCAGGAAGACTCATCTTCCTGAGTTCTAATCAGCCTCAGACATTTGCTAACTGTGTGACTCTGGGCAAGTCACTTCACCCTGTTTGCCTTAGATTCCTCAACAGTAAAATGATCTGGAGAAGCAAATGGCAAAATCTTTGCCAAGAAAACCTCAAAAGGGGCCATGAAGCTGAAATGACTAAACAACTTCCCTCTTCCTCCTCTATTATCACTCACTCTATTTCTTTCCTCTTTTTCCTCCTTAAAATTTGCTCTCACCAAATACACACTAATACAATATATCCCAGGAGTCTTGGTGTGACCTTAAGCTCTAACGAGCTTGTATTCTTTGTCTACAAAGGGATATATCCCTTTGTAAGCTCTGATGAGCTTAAGACCACCCTAAGGCCTCTGAGACACACTGTCTAAAAATGTAAGCTGTTACTGTTATTATTGAATGCATACTATATACATTGTGAGGGATGCAAAGATATACAGGATGGGTAAGATACAATCTTTCTTTGACTTCAAGGAGTTTATCATCTTCGAGGCGGGGTGGGACAAACATAAATTGCCACATTACAAGAGTAGAAAGAACATTGGATATGTGCGGGACATGGCGTTTTAGCTCAGCCTTGGAAAACAATGAGGGGTTCTAAGCAGAGGTAAGGGAATGTATTGTAGGCATAGAGGACAGCCTGGATGGACTGGCTAGTCTGCTGCTTTAATTAAAGACAAAGTTTCACAAGAACCCTATGTTTTTTGTTGTTGTTCAGTAGTTTCAGGCTCTTCATGACCCCACGTGGGGTTTTCTTGGCAAAGATACTAGAGTGGTTTGCCATTTCCTTCTCCAGCTTATTTTACAGATGAGGAAACTGAGGCAAATGAGATAAAATGACTTGCCCAGGGTCACACAGCTAGTAAATGTCTGAGGCCACATTTGAACTCGGGAAGATGAGTCTTCCTGATTCCACGCCCATTGCTTTATCCTCTATAACACCTAGCTGCCCAGTATAACAAATGGTATAATATAATGCATAGTATAGTAATCCTATAATATTCACTACAGGATTTTCTTTAAATAATAGCATCCCATAGAACATTTAAGCTTTTAATAATAATGACAGCTAATATTTATATAGTGCTTACCACATACCAGGCACTGTGCTAAGTATTTCACAATTATATCATTTAATCCTCACAACAACAGTGAGAAATAGGGGCTATTATTATCATCCCCATTTTACAGATGAGGAAACTGAGACAGACAGAGGTTCAGGACTTGCCCAGTGTCACACTACTGCCTGAGACTCGATTTGAAAATAAGTCTTCCTGACTCCAGGCCCAGTGCTCTATCTCCTGTGCCATGGGGAACAGTCTTGGCAGATGGTTATTTGCTAATTTTCTCAAAGTACATTTATTGGGGGACAGCTAGGTGGCACAGTGGATAGAACAGTGGCTCTGAAGTCGGGAGGACCTGAGTTCAAATCAGACACATAACACTTACTAGCTGTGTGACCCTGGGCAAGTCACAACTCCAACTGCCTCACCAAAACAACAACAAAGTACGTTTATTGGGACTTCTGTGTGCAAAGCATTATGCTTGGTACTTACTGAAGTCAGGAGGCAGCACAGAAATTTCGAATTAAAATAATTCTAGGAACCATTGCCAACCGAAGCTCAATAAATCAGAAGCTAAGATAAAGTAGCCCTTGAAATGTAAGGTGAGTGGGAGAAATTATTCAACTTATAAACACTTGATTTCGTCACAGCTTTCAGGAACGGCTGCCTAAACAACACAACATATATGCACCTATAAATCTGAAAAAAACAAACCTTGAAGAGATGTGAAGAATTTTACAATATTTGGATGTTTCATCTTTGCCAAAAGAATGACTTCTTTCTTTGAAGCTTCTTTTTCTCGATGAGGCATCTAAATTAGATTTTAAAAATAAAGTTTTGGTTCTTTGGCTTTTTTTGTTTAGCTTAAATGAAATAAACAAACAAACAAACAAAAACCAGCAACTCACCTAGTTTAGAGAGATTACAAGTGTTTATTCCCTGCCACACCCCCAAGCAGCACCCTGTGGATTGTGTCCTTCCTTTTAATTTGCAAAGCCTAATATATTGGCCAACCCATAGTAGTCAAATGGATAAGTATTTGTTATAGTTATTACAAAGAAAACTAATATTTCTGGAGAAGCCTTTTTATATTGCTATGAATATTAATGAGCAGATATTGCATCTGCTAGAGTTATTTCTATACTTGCTCGTCTTGTGCAAACAAAAAAAAGAATCTTGGGAAAAAATGTAATATACAAAAAAAAAAAAAGACAAAAGAGTCAGGCAGCAATGCAGATCCTGGCGGTTGTTATCTCTCAGACCCAATGACACTCTCCCTTCCTCAGTGAGCTCAGTTATTCTGTTCTGCCCATTTCCTGTTTTCATACTAGGGGACTCAAACTCTTCCAGTAATTTTACACTCTACTCCCCCCAAGTACTTTACTTTCCTCTGGGATCCAACAATACTGGACTACTTAATGTTCTTCTTCCTCAAATACAACACTCAATCTCCTTTTCACTGGCCATTCCCCACGTTGGGTCACCTCTGCCTCTGTTTCTCTGACTTCCTTCAAGACTCAGCTCAGGAGCCTTTCCTGGTCTTCCATCTCATTATATACCTTGTATGAACACAACTATTTGTGTGTTATTTCCACCATTAGAATATAAGCTCTTTGAGGGCAGGGACTGTGATTTTATCTTTCTTTGTATCCCCAGTGCTTTACATAGTGCCTGGCACTTGGTAAGTGCTTAATAAATGTTTGTTGTTGTTGAAAGGGGGAAAAAAAAAAGTTGGTTATGCATATAAATATAAATCTAATGAGATCAAGATGATTCTTTAATTTTGGATAAAATTCTCACATTCATTACTTTTTACCATTTAACAGTATTTCATTTTTTCCAAGTACATGTAAAGATGGTTTTCAACATTCACTTTTATAAGATTTTGAGTTCCAAATTTTTTTTCTCCCTCCCTCCTTCCCCTCTCCCTTCCCCAAGACAGCATGTGATCTGATATAAGCTATACATGTACAATCATATTAAACATATTTCCACATTAGTCATGTTGTGAAAGAAGAATCAGAACAAAAGGGAAAAACCACAAGAAAGAAAAAATAAACAAAACAAAGAGAAAAGAGTATGTTTCAATTTGCATTCAGACTCCATAGTTCTTTCTCTGGCTGTCTCATATTCATTATTAAAGGGATGATTTGTGAGCCCATAAAGTCAAGCAGTAATCACTATGAACCAGCTTGGAATGATCAACAAAAAGTCAGACTAACCTCACTTCCTTTTTTGACAGTCACTATATTAGTACAACCATAGAATGCTACAGATATTCTATGGCTAAATTTCAGCAGAGCATTTTATAAGTCTACATGTTATTTTTTTCAGGCAAAATGGGAAAATATGGGTTAGATGTTAATCTAGTTAGGTGGATTCAAAACTATCTGAACAACCATACCCCAAGAGTTTTTTTCCCCATTGTTATTACTTTCACATTTTTATTAACGATTTGGATGAAATCATAGATGGTGCAGTTATCAAGTTTGCAGATGGCACAAAGCTGGGACACATACTAGCTGACAGAACTGACATCTGGGAAGATCTCATTAGGCTAGAATAATGGGCTGAATCTAAGAAGAGGAAAGCTAAAGGGGAAAGGTGCAAAGTGCCAAATTTGGATTCAAAAAACCAAGAGCACAAAGCACAGAATGAAGAAGGCATGACTAGATGACAGTTTGTATGAAAAAGACCTAGGACTTTTAATTTACTATGTGCCAGGAAATGCATATACAAAAATTAAAATGAGTCTTATCTCTTAGGGTGCATATTATGCTGCTGGGGTTGCCCCCACAAAAAATGGTAACCAGGATGGTGAGGGAACTTGAAACCATACTAAGAGGTTTGAAAGAATTAGCAGTGTTTAGCCAGAAAAAAAGACTTGGGTGATACAAAGAGCTGCTTTCAAAAAAAGGACTGTAGTGTCAAAGGAGAATACTTGTTTTGCTTGGTCACAAGAGACAGAATTGTGAAGAGGCAAATTTCAGCTCAATATAAGAAAACAAAAGTGACAAAGCTATCCAAATTCTAAATGGGCTTCCTCAGGAGGAAGCCCACCACTAGAAGTCTTTAAGAAGAGGCTAGAGGAAGATTTGTAGAGTATGTCCAGGAGATAACTCTTGTTCAGGTCCTGACTGGATTCGATGGCCTCCAAGATCCCTTGAGATGCTGAGATTATGGTATTTTTTATCTAGATTTTCTTGCCTGGGAATAAAATATGCCTCTCGCCATCTTATTTTAGCCCTTTCTCTAAGCTTTGCTTCAATGAAGTGATTCTGTCCTATATTTATGAACAGATATTTATGAACAGATTTACAATCACTCATCTCCAAAGATTTCTCATTCTTAATGACTTTAGATGAGCAATTTTTCAATCAAACTTTAATATAACATGATGTATTGAAATAAAAAAAAATTGTATTTTGGAGAGTGGGAGTAAAATTCTACCTATTACTGAAAACACAGCATGCACTTTGGAGAAATAACAGAGCTAGCATTTCCCTAATTATTGGAATAAGAGTACACAGGTGTTTCTTCCAAAGTAAGAACAGTTGGTCTGGTCTTGCCCTGTAAGAAAGATACAGCTTACTTGTGTTCAGGACATTCTATTAAGTCACTAACAGTGCTGAGGAAATTCTTGTTACTGTGAACAATGGTATTTCCCGATAAACAAAATAAATTCCATTAAAACAACAAAAATGTTATTATGACAAAGCTAATAATCACCAATGACTAACCTCTCACAGAAATGTGTAGACATTGAGAATCAACACAACCTTGTTTGGTATAACATTAAAAAATTGTAACCCAAAATATTTTATTCAATTGAAAACCAACTAATTAATAAGAAAGAAAGAGGAATTAATCAAAAGCTTAGACAAAAGGAAAAATATGGTTTCAGTGAAATTGAAAAATTGAGGAAAAGGCAAAAGATCAGTCAGAATATTGGGGAACCAATGGAGCAGCAGCTAGGACAATGGAAACAGCATAGCACTCAGAGTCAAAATTCAATTTGAAGTAGATATAAAGCTTGACTCTATACCCAGAAGGCCTGGGTTCAAGTCTTGCCTCTAACACATACTGGCTGTGTGACCCTGGGCAAATCACTTAATTACTCTCTAAGACTATAAATTTCAGAGAAGGTGCCAATCCATATTAGGAGAGGAAATCCTTCACCAAGAGCTTCCTAAGTCAATGAAATGGTAGGCCCAAACCATCCCTATTCCTGACCTATGTACAAGATGCTACAGGACAGAGAAATGCAAGAACCAAATTTCTAGGAGTTTACACTCAACTGGGGTGAGGGTGAAATGTATTCGAGACATAAGGAATGGTTGAGACAGAGGCAGGACGAAAGAAGATGGAATACCAAGTTCAAGGAACAGCAAATAACGCAATTTGTCTGGACATACTATGTAGTACATGAAGGGGAGGAATGTGAAATAAATCTGGGAAGGTAATCTAGAGCCCGATTAAGAGGGGCTTTAAATGCCAAATAGTCTGGGAGTTAAACCCATAAGGATCATAATTGAATCCACAGGATTTGATGAAATCATCAAAAGGAGGGGAGTCTAGAGGGAAAAGAAAAAAGGGTCCCAGGACAGAGCCTCCCTGATCGGAGGGAGTTAATGATGCAGCAAAAGGGACTGAAGGGGAATGGTCAGAGAGGTAGGATGAGGACAAGGAAAGAACAATATCACAAAAAACAGGATGGAGAGAGCTGATGGTGTCAAAAGTGGTGGTAGTTAAGGATAAGATCATCATAAAGAAAAGGTCATCAGACTTAGCAGTGAAAAGACCACTGGCAATCTTTGGGAGAGCACTTTCAAGCATGTGGTGGGGTCAGAAGTCAACAATTCAAAAGTGAACTACTGGGGTAGCTAGGTGGCGCAGTGGATACAGCACCAGCTCTGGACTCAGGAGGACCTGAGTCAAATTTGAACTCAGACACTTACTAGCTGTGTGACCTTGGGCAAGTCACTTTCCCCCAATTGCCTTAAGAAAAAGTGAACTATCTGTGAATGATCCATGTTTCCTGACCCTTCTTTACTCCAGTCTCAGAAAATCCATGCTTCATAACTGTTAGAAGGAAACCCTACTTCTCCTTGCAGTAACAAGCCTCATGCACTGGGTCCAGCCTGCATCTGCCTTCTAACAACAGAACAAAAAGAAGAAATAGATGAAAAATGCAAGAAATAGATTATGAGTCTAGCAGAAAGATGTGATCTAGGACTCATTCTGGATGTCAATCATTTGGACATCTGTTAGAGTACTTTCTCTGCCCTTTAAAAGCAAAGTAGCAAATTATTAGCTTGCTTTAAGTGGAGAAAAATTTCATCCTTCAAAAAGTACAGAAAGTAATGAGGGGGAAAAGTTGTTATGGACTAGATTCTGGCCAGTAAGTTGGAATTCACTGCAGTAGAGATAATGCAAATCTTGGGAAGAAATACTCCCCTGTCGACAAGAGAGCAGGGGGATGATAGAGAGGAGGGCAGATTGGAAAAGGGTGTAATCAGAAGTAAATACTTCTGAGAAGGAACAGGGTCAAAAGAAAGAATAGAATAAATGGGAGGGCAGAATAGGATTAAGGGAAATAGAGTTAGTTTTTCACATGTCTACTATGGAAGTGTTTTGCATAACTGCACATGTACAACCTATATTGAGTTGCTTGCCTTTTCAATGAGGGTGGGTGGGGAGGGGAGGAAGAGAGAAAATTTGAAACCTAAAGTTTTAAAAATATATGTTTAAAAAAAAGTTTTCACATGCTATCGGGAAATAAGAAAAACAGGAAATGGGGTACAGAAGTCT